AAATTTACGGAACATCTTGTTTCAATAAATTTTGAGCTGAATTTAAGCGTCTAAATCTAAAAGCGTGACATATGAATATTATCATACAAACTATCATTAAACAAAAATATAAAAGAAATTCATGCACTTGTGATTCAAACAGCTTCAATTCGGTTATGACCACAATAACTGCATTACCAATTGCAACGGTTAGAAGCCAAAACGACTGTACCACGGACTTCATACTCTTCGGAGCTTGTTCATAGGCAAAAGTCAATCCTGTTACATAGAACATTACTTCGCTCATGCCTGGCAATTGAAGGAAAAATTAAAATAAATGATTTAAAAACAATTACATTTTTCAGAAAAATTTGTTTAAAAAATATTCCGATATTTTTTTCGAATGAAATATTGTTTGAAGTACATTTAAAAAAAATTGTAAAAAATAATGTTTAAAAAATTGAAAAAATAAAACATAGTCAACTCTATTTAAAATGATATTTGTCCAAAACAAAAATTTCGAATAAAAAAAGCATTAATTACCTAAAATAATATATTGTGGTATTTGCCATAGAATGGACAATGAATTCGGTGCACATGATTCAATTCTGAATTCAACGATGGCTGATATCAAAATTGCCATCGCGACTGATAAACCACCGGCTGTGATTTTTTGTAACGATGTTTTGAAATTGATTTTATACAAAAGTGGATAGAAACAGTAGTCGAACAATGGAATACAAATGATCAACAGTATGGGATTAAGAAAGAGCATTTGATCCGGTAAAATGTGATAAAATCCAAGATCACCGTTCATTTTCATTGCTTGAACGATCCAACGTGAGTACTGCTGTTCAGCTATTAAATAGAAAATAATTTAGAAAAAGTTCCAATTTTTGTTTAAAAAATCCCATATATTACCTAATGCCCAGTACATCGACAATGGCAGAAATAACAGCAAAATATTCAGCAAGCATTTTGTGTCATCCACCAATTGTTGTCCATATTTCTCAATCGAATAATCTAAAAAGTGCACTGAACCATGTACTTTTCCATTGCGTCGCTTGTTTGTAATTGCATTCTGCAATCAATTCAAATATGTATGATTTTACGGAAAATAAATAATAAATTTCATGAAAACTCACCACAGTACATTTGATGACTTGAACCAGCATATTTCCAGACGGCGGATTCATCGTGTATGAAGATTTTCCAGCCACAAATAAAACTAGAGCAATTTTTTGGAGAGAGTAACATTAAGACATATATAACATTTTATGATAAATTCATACGTCATACCGACAGCAATTGTGGTTAGAATAACCGGTACGCCGAACGCAAGTGAATAACATTCATTGTCACCGAAGCAATGCGTCTCCGATCGAATGATTGGTGTCATCGTCGTTGTGGCAAGAGCACCGATATTAACACAAAAATATAATAGTGAGTAGGTCTTTTCCATTTGTGCGGCTTGTTCCGGTAACTTAAATTGATCACCGGCAAATGCGGCTACATTTGGCTTTATTCCACCATAGCCTGTAGCCATCAAGGCTAAGCCAAGATATAGTAGTAGTTTGGTTGGTATGTCTTCGTGTGGAATGGCCGATATGGCAATGCAAACGTTGCCCATCAAATTGATTATTGACAAATACAATGTTGCCTTGAATTTTCCCAACCAAGAGTCAGACAGAATGGCACCAAACACACACATGATGTATACCTATTGGAAGTAAAATATACCATTGGTGTCTTCTATGGTTTCTCATAAAAATTTGGAAAATGGAAAAATCTCTCTAGTTCTATCATGAATGGTTAACATTCTTCACCAATAAACAACAGTCACTCATTTCTTTAGAAAGTGAAAGTAATGGTGTCAAACTAACCGAACAAGCGTTCTTGGCAAAAAAAATATACGTCGCAAATAGATTTTTCAATCATAAAACCAATGTTAACATACCACCATTGTGAAGATATGATATTGTACGGTAACAAAATCTTCGTCCATATCTAACTTCCTTGTCATGTAAAGAACCAAAATTGCTACAAACAAAGTGGAATATCATAAATAATTATAGATAACTTGATGTGTGGAAAAATACTTGTTTGTTTAATGAACTCACTCTTAACGCCAAGATAATTGAACCGGTTTCCGAATTCATTCAATATGATGCTTAACACTCGTCTCGGATATGGTAATTCTGGTTGTTGTTTTTTGCCCGTATCCATCAATAGCATCGAATCTACATCGTGTTGAATTCCACCATCGTCGTCCAAGTTTTTGGCATACGGCATTTTGAACACCTCATCGGTATTCACGGCAATATAACGACGTTCTGAAATTTTTTTGGCATCAACATTTTTTGGTCTGACATTTTTTTGCTTCACTACTATTCTATTCCATTGTGCAAAAATAATAACAATTTGCGACTATTCAACAACGACTGTACTGCTGAACAACGACTGAAGTGAATGTGAATTGAACTATACACGGCTAAATTGATTGTTTACACAGTGCGCGTTTGCATTGACGTCTGTCAAACTGTCTGAATTTAAATAAATGACCACTTGCCGTCCGTTAGTCATAGTACATAAAACATACCAAAATATTGTAAATAGTCGATGTTATTATTTTTTCACATTTTAAAAAATTCCGTTCATTTGATAAATGAAGTTAAAATAAAATCATGTTTGAAAAATGACGGTTGCTATGTCAAATGAAGGGTCTTTTTTTCGCTCAAAAATATCCGTAGAACAACTTCAGAGAATTCTTACCATTCATCACTTCTGACTGTTTTGATTCCATTTCGAACTGTTCAACTGTTTCCACTAATCACTTCAAATCGCATCGACTGTCACATTGACGGTGCAGAGAAACTAAAAATTAATCTAATTTTATTACATATTTGAGTATCGTTGATTAATAGGAAGTGCCACTTCAATAGTTTACCATTTACAATCGATAAGATAAATTTGTATGGTTGCAATGACTTTGTAGAATGTACTTTAAACTAAATCAATAAAAGTTCGTCAGAGGTAGCTCTTTAGTTCACTGATTTTGCCTAGCGAATGATCGAAGATCACATATACTAATTGTAAAAATCCCCAAAAAATCAAAATATTTTGGTGAATGTCTTCCAAAAAAAAATCCGAGAAATAGGTCGTGATTCATCCGAATCACTCAAAAATTGAAAACAAACTGAAACAACAACATGTTTTTGTTTTTTGACAGCATAAGAAATGTTTATGTGTAAAATCGACACGTGTGCTCATGTTTCAGTGTGTATGTGGTATTTCGGAATGTTTACACTTTCTAGTTTCTTCTTGACCTTTCGCAGATAAATATTCATGAATTATTACGAACAGCGTTAGAAAAAAAAAATCATAACAGACATTCACACTTCGATTTTATGGCAGAAGCAAATTTTTTGTCTCAATAGGACAATGAAAATAGTGCACGGTTTGCATTTAGATACAATGTTGTGATAAGAGAATATAGTCACGATTTGGTTTATCTAGAGATAAGACACACAGATGTTACTATCTTATTTCACATATAAAGAGTCTTACGGGAGTAAGACGAACTTTTCCGCACGGTGGTAGTTGCGTATTTTATTAAGAAAGTTCAAAATAATATTTGTTCGATTTTTCAAGCCTTTCAAGTGGCGTAAAGTTCGAGACCAAAAAATATGTTTCAACTTTAGCAACGAAATATTCTTTAATTTAATAGCAGAAGTACTCGAGAAAAGATTTTTCACACTTTCATAATGAACTCATTTGTATGACATTTAAAAGTATTCTATTTTCTAACAAAAAGCTATAAAAATATGTCTGACGGTAATTTTGCCATAAAAATTATTTTTGAAACACTTTTCATAACTAAAGTCATAAAAAATTTGGATTTTTGTATGGGAGCCATGTCTGTATGCTACCTTAATGGCGTGAAACGTTGCATAGGTTATTTTTTTCACAGAAAATTTTGTATGGGAGGTACCACTAATTTTGATTGAAATCTCTTCAAACTTTCAGAATGTTATTTTTTTGTGTAAAAAATAGTCTGTGCAAAGTTTCACGTCCTTAATGACATACAGGCATGGCTTCCATACAAAAATTCAATTTTTTTGTGATTTTTTCAAGGAAACTGTATCAAAAGTTGATTGTATCTCAAAACTAACCTCGGATTCGGTTTTCTCGTGCCAAAAAACCCCCCAATACATATTTTTGAGTGTTTAAGTCTTTTGGACGAAAATTGGACTCTTTTTCATAGGTATCACTCCACTCTGAAAAAAATGTTGTGGGGTTATGTTCGACTTTACGTGTTGACATTTATTTACACTACAAAAATATAATACTTCAAAAAAATTTTGTGGTGAATTCTAGTACTAGAAATATTCATGAATTATAAAAACAGCATACATTTTTTTTGTAGTATAAGAATCACCACAAAAATTTTTTGAATTATTATATTCTTGTAGTGTTAATAAATGTCAACACATAAAGTTGAACATAGCCCCACAACAGTTTTTTCAGAGCAGGCATGAAATTTTTTCCATCAACCAAAGTCGCTCAAAATCTAATGATTTCTATTCCTCGGGACCCCCAATCATCCCATGAAGTCAGATTTTAAATAACTTTTCTGGGGGGTGAGATAATCGATGGACAAATTTTGCGTACGGCGGACAACGTACGACGTACGACGTGGAAGCGACCAACAACAACCATGCTCAAGACGGCCTGATTCGGGTTCTCTGACCTCAGAAACGTCAAGAAAACATGTTTTTGAGGTTTCGTAAATGTTGACCCATTGCAATACTATCCCCTTACACACTAAGTGTGTGCGGAAAAGTAATATGGTTTACTGTGAACCGTTTACATACACGAACGGAAAGCTAACATCATAATAACGTTCGATGGAATTGTTTACGTATTACACACACAGCCTACGTTACATATGTGATTTGGATATTAGAATACGCTTCAAAAGTGAAAAACAATTCTCTCATTGAACTTGACCTTTTGTTTGTAATGAAATCACTATTCAAATTATTATGTCTTTCATTAGCCGTGTAAATGAAGCGACTCAAGTTTGAATTAATCAAACGGATTTGATGATATTTGCATAAATGTTTGATTTGATGTAAAACATGATTTACCGATGGGACAGAGTATTATTATTGAAAGAAATCGCGCATTACAAATTATTAGAACCTATTTGGAACAAAACCAATTTTATGGAACCACTTTTTCCCATTTCAAAGTCACTAGAATTTGTTTCGGAACACATACAATACACAAATATTATTGGTCGAATATTTGTATAGCACACACATATAAGTAAAACATATATTTTCAACTCTTTAGGAAACCATTACAATGGAGGCTTCAATTCGTCTCCACCGGTTGACTGAAAAGGAAATTCTACGCGCAATGGAAGAATAATTGCATGAAAATGAAATTGCACCGTTTGAAACTGAAGAAGATTTACGACACGAACAATACGCATTTCAGCGTAAAAAGTTGCTACTTGAACTATCTGAATCATTGGTTTACTTAATTGCTTACTCGCAGATCTACTCGTCGCAGAACATCAGTCAGTTTTGAATCAGGTTCGCCAACATTTGAATGTTCTAGAAGTTGTTGAAGAACCATCCTCGAAGCTTCACTCAGTCGAAAAACCAAAATTTGTAGTAGTAAATGTAACAAAAACGTTTGCGGTGAGCATTCAAACTTGGCTGTTTTGTGTAAACAATGTGGAAAAAAACTGCTTCTTCAGATTCGAATTAATTTTTCTACATTTCTTTCAATATATTTTATTTGTATTTCTATTTATTCAACTTGCTTTTCGTTTTCATCGAATGAAAACCAAAAAAAATTAAAAATGCATGTTGGTTTTTTGCATTTTGGAACTATTTTCATACATTTTGTATGGAGGGCCTGAGAGGCCCATACTGTATTGATGTCTTCTTAATATTTACTGTCTGTAGGAGGGTTAAACACACAGAATTGCCACTGATTGATCTGACATCAAAGGATACAATGAATTCGTAACAATCAAAGGTAGTGATGATTCGCCAAATCAACGGAATGAAACCAAATCAGTTGGCGATAAACAACAGAATGGATCGACATCAAACGGAAAATCCAAAACACAGAAATGAAGCACAGAAATTAAGAGAGGAAATGTTACAATTCATTGTATTCTAATTCAAATGTATTGTATTTGTGTGGAACATAGAAGAATTCTATTCAAAGAAAGTAATTATGTCGAAAAGGACGAGCCCTTTCCGTTAGTTTTTCCTAATATATTTTCACAGTGAATTCCACATTTTGTGCCATCGTTTTATTTCTGTTAGTGTTATTGAAATATCCCTTCAGAGTTTCAAGAATTTCAAAATGGTTAGAACAAAAACTGAACTCCTTACAACTGTCAACAAGGGCGAAAGACAGATGAACGCAAAACAGCGACATACACGGAGAAAAACATTCCATAAATCGCTGCGCTATAATGTTCAACCCGTAATTATACCAAGTTGTTGTTGACACTTTGAAGTTTCACATTCAGTGGAACGTGAAGTTAACATATTGTCCAATTTTTGTTCCAACTGATTCATTTAGTTTATTGAGTTATCAAATATATATCCATTACGCGACTACTTCATTGTTTATCTGATTTTTATCTCACGAAAAAATCAAATCAATACATGTCGAATGTGTTTTGTGCGGCAATGGCCTCAATGGAATGGATTATCCGCCCATATGAAATCATGAGCTAAACTCAATGTTGATTCAGTTGATTGTTGCTAGTCTGGGAAGAGAGACGTTCAAATAAAAAAAAAATGTAATTTCGCTGCTACTGTACTAACCTTGAAACAATGCCATATTACAGAGTATTTTGTACTTTTTGTTCTGTTCGACTCGGCGCTATTATTGTTGGAATTATTTCATTCGTAAGACAAGCCAGGATTTCAAAAAAGACACAAAATATTGCCCAATTTTCCATTTTCAGATTGAAATAGCGATTTATACAATAATCATAAGTACAAAGGGATCCGATTTTTTCATCACAATCGCCAAATGTGCAGAGGATTACATCAGAGACAATGGTCTGGACGCAGGTTACTTGTCGTATCCCAGATATTTGGAAACAAGTTAGTGCTTTTTTCCCTTAATTTCATAAAATTTTCAACACATTCATGGTATTTTCAATCAATTCTTCTAGACAAGGACACGTTGTTCACCGTGTTTATCAGCTTTCACGGCGTCCATTTGGTTACGTGTGTAGTGGACATAATCGGAGCATTTCTAGTGAGTTCCATCCAATTTGATTGAAATTATTATTTTAAAATAATTGCCTTCGACTGATATTTTCAGCTAAATCAATGGTTGCTATTGCCATACATACTTCTGGAAATGACTCGACTATTCGTTGCGTCGGCAACCTTTTGCATATTTATGATTGTCATAAAAAAAGCAATTAATCTGGGCTACTTGATCACTTACTGGGTTTCGGGAACATTTGTAATACGTAAGTTCGTCTTTTGGCATTTTCTCCGTGAAAACTTAAAATTCATTAGCCACCCAAAAATCAAATCATGAATCGGTGCTAATCAAATGCTCTTCTTCAATTCAGTGCTTTTAGGCTATTTGTGGGCCTGTGTTTTAAGCTTATTTCAAGTGATTTTCATCGTGAAATCAGAAAAATACCGATCGGTATACGGTGATGATCCGTTGCACCCACTACAGGCGGCGAATGCGATCAAATCAATGAAAAACACCAAAGTGGAACGGGTAAAAATTTTTCCATCACCAAATTTCAAAGACACCGAGAAATTGAAGTCATTGACTAAATCAAACAATTGTGACCATCCATTTGCCATAAGCCGGTCACAACGCATACGAAATGAATACATGGAAATGCGACGCAATTATCTGAACGAAACCAGCCTTGGACATGGATAAAATGATGTCAATTTACTGGTGTTATTAAAGCGACTGGTGCTTTGTCGATGACTTTTTTCCAATTCGAGTTACGTGTTTTGGGTTTTGCTTTCACCATACACAGCTTAATGTTGTGGGTTTTTTTCAGTGCAATTAAAAAAAAACACAAATATTGAAAGCTTGCTCCTTGAACAGTGGTCGGAGTTATGAATATACTCGACACGGTGATAGTTGAACGTACGAAATACGCAGTGAGAAAAATTACTTGGATTTTTCTGATAAAAGTGAATGAATAGAATCGAATTTATACAGCAATGAAAAAAAAAATCATTTTTATTTCTGTAACACGATTTTTTCAATCATCTGATTCAATTTTTCAAAAATAATTTTACAAAAATGCGAACCTTTCTCTGAAAAAATTGTTCGTACCAAAAAAAGGATTTCTTACAGTGTATACATTGAATATGACTTGAATGCACCAAAGGACTCGATTTTGGGGCAAATTGTTCGCATTGAAAATGTTGATAAATTTATTTGATTGAATAAAATTGGGTTTTTGCATAACATTTTTGCATTTTTTTTAATTTGATTAAATAATTCATTTGTCCTAGATTTTTCCTTTAAATAATTGATTAAATTTTAGACAAATAGGAATGAGTGTACTTAGTCTGTACTTACCCTCCCAACAAAGTATCGTTTGACAAAAGTATTAGACAAATGTGTCAAACTTCTCTTCAAGCGACAGCTCAAACAAATAAATATAAACAACGTAAAGCGGTGTTAGCATAGTCTCGTACAAATCACATACTAATCCATAAAAATATTGAGTTTCGTTTGAAAAAAAAGCAAGATGTTGGCCGCAACGAATGCAAATGGAATCCCGGACAAGGCCTGGCAACCAAATTTTGTCATTTTAGAAACATCGTGAGTGAAATCATTACAAATTTCTGTTAACATAACCAAACTTTGACCAAAAACAATTCGTGTCATTTGTTTTGAAGGCAAAAACTGAAAACAAGACGAATGATTTGAATGGAAATTTAATTAATAATCGTCCCTTTTCTACAGTCAAGGAGAAATAACCATCGAATTGTATTGGAAGCACGCCCCGAATACTTGCCGTAATTTCGCTGAATTGGTACGAAGAGGCTACTACAACAACACAGTCTTCCATCGAATTATTCGAGATTTCATGATTCAAGGCGGTGACCCGAGTAAGTTACACAGATTTTTCTTCAGATCATATTCAATATCACTATTTATGAAATTGTATACTTTTAGCCGGAACGGGTCGTGGTGGTGCGTCAATTTACGGTCATACATTTGCCGATGAAATTCATCCAGATCTCAAGCACACCGGTGCCGGTATACTTTCAATGGCCAATTCCGGACCCGATACGAATGGCTCACAATTTTTCATCACACTGGCACCGACACAATGGCTCGATGGAAAACACTCAATTTTCGGACGCATCCACAGTGGAATGCAAATTGTGAAGCGCATCGGCATGGTGGAAACTGATAAAAATGATCGTCCCGTTGAAACAGTTAAAATTAATAAAGGAAAAGTCGAGAAATTTTAAACTGTCGACTGGTTTTTTTTTATGTAATTTTGACTTGAAATTTGATTAAATTGTGCATTTGATACAAAAATTGTTTTTTTCTTCTTGGTCTTTGTATTTAGAGGTTGTTCGTAAATGAGACAATTAATCGAGGCCACAGAAATAAAAATTTAAAATGAAAAAAGTGACAGCAAGACTTTGTGGAACTTTGTTTCTTCATACTTTAAATAATCCTTCCAAGAAAATTGGACTTAGTTTTATAAATAACAGTTCAAAGTACCAATTTATGATACCTTTGTATTCATCTACTGCAGTAGATATTCACATGTGAATTATACGCAAAGAGTCATAAGGAATGACAGAAGAACTACTTCTCTCTTTACATAAACGTACCACTTTAAAATCCGCCCACATCTTGTTTAATGATAACTCATTAGCCTTCCATCTTACAAATTGTAAGCAGTTTTTAGCAGTCTTGTGACCATCATTGAGAAATTCTTTTCAGTTTCAGTTGTTACAGTGAGCGAAGTAGCCTCGATTTAAAAAGGAAAATTATTAAAAATAGAAAAATTCTATTCCACTTGAATCTTCTCATTACATTTGTAATAATTATAACATTTCTTCTTGTTGTATAAAGTGGACAGATTTGATCATAAAAATTTTCATTTTCACTAGACTTCTATAAATCTTAAAAGGTAAGCGTATTTCAAAAGAATTAATTTATTCCGGACCTTGTCGTTAGATGTTCTATTCCAATTTGTCCGTTCATAAAAAAATAATCATTTCTTTATTTCTTATCTTCTTTATCAGATTGCTTTCAACTAAAATCGTTTAATAATCGTGTGTTGCTAAATAAAACTTATCAAAGCGCCTTTTAGTATGTCAACCGTTAACAAATACGTGAGTAAAGTTTACTCAAAAATTGGCGAAGAACTGTATTTGACCGATGAATTGGCCGATGTTCGCTTTGTTTTTAAGATGGCCGATGGTCAATATGAACGCATCCCGGCACATAAACTACTACTGAAAAGCGCCAGCGATGTATTCCGCACAATGTTCAATGAAACATGGAAAGAAAAGGAGTTAGTTGACATAAAAACGTTGCCAAAGTCATGTATCTTGGTGATAAATACAATGTGGCTGGCTGCTTGGACATATACGAACAATTTTTGATCAATTCACTGAGCGACGACAACCTTTTCCAGAATCATGAGCTCAGCATTTTTTTCAATCAAAACAAATTGAAGAAATATTGCGAAACTGTAATCGCTTTCGATACAAAGAACGTGTTGGCATCGGGAAATTTTATGGAGTGCGACCGTAAGGTGCTTAGTCACATTTTAAACATAGACACATTGTCATGTTCTGAAGGCGAATTGTTCGAGGCATGTATGGGATGAACAAAAAATGCAGCAAATGCAGACAATTTAACGCGGAAAGCTGTTAAACGACAACTTGGCAATTTGTTTTACGAAATTCGCTTTAAATCTATGAGTCCACTGCAGTTTGCTAATATCACTTCATTGTATGGCAGTTTATTCCAGAGTTTTGCGCAGCGCTGCTGCCATCCAGAGCATATTAAAATATCTTGCTGAGAATGCGTCGTCCGTCGCATGCGAAGGTACGTAGCAGTTTATACATCACAGCGAACAACAATACATGCATTGTTCTCTATTCAATCGTTTGAATGTTTTGAGTCACATAATCGTGAAGAGAACAATGCATTCATTCTTGTTCGCTGTGATGTATAAACTGCTACGTACGTTCGCATGCGACGGACGACGCATTCTCAGCAAGATATTTTAATATGCTGTGGATGACAGCAGCGCTGAGCAATACTCTGGTTTATTCTCATCGGACGAATACAGAGAAATAGTTCAATCGACTGCGAGGCCAGACTTTGTACCAAACGTATTCAGCAAAAAACTCAGAACTCCGTTTGAAAATCTTCAGTGGAATGAAGGGGAAGAGATTAAATGTAATCGTTTATTGTCATTAGGATATGCAAATAATCCATATTATATCAAAGGTATTGAAAATACCATATTTTCCGTTAATCAACCGATGATTTTGAGTCAAATTGAATGTAGCAAAATATTTGAATATAAGTTAAATGATTACTACAATATGAAGGAAATGTCAACTGGAATAAAAATCGTTCAAGTCAATGAATCGATATCATCAAATAAGAAGTGGTGTCATAAAGTAAACGAATGTGTTCTCTATAATGGAAAAACTTATTTCAAATCTAAAGAGCGTACATACATAAATTTGCCGAAGCCAATCCTTGTCAGACCTGGTCTTATCTATAATATTCAACTAAAACAAACACCACCATCAAGCTGTTGCACGGGCTGCTTACTAAAGTCAGAAGTTCAAATCGACCCGGACATCACTGTACAGTTTCATCAGGATCCCATTGATGGGTACTCTACTTAAAAATTGCCGTTCTAGTATTTAATAATTGTTATTGATTCTTTTTCGATTATTTTAAATTAATTTTATTATTTTCTTTTGCGATTCTCCCCTAGGTACTCTAATCGAAGAGGAACTATTTTGGGGCTTCAATTCTATCGAATTTAAGTGTGATTTTTCATATGGGAACATCGATCGAGATATCTTCGTCAACATCTTTAAACTCACAATAAAATAATAACCTTTTTACCTCATCAGTCATTTCAATACAAATAAATGACACCTGTATAAAGCAGAGATCATACATACAATGTTCATGTTAATACATTTAATGGACAGCACAGTTTTTGCACCTCTGCCAATAACCGTCTTTACCATTTTTTTTATAAATAAAATATTGTCGAATATTTGAATTTGAATAAAAAGAAGAAAAAAAAACTTAAAAGTGTCTATTCTCAAATTTGTAAAAGTATTTATCGTTGTACTCAACATTGACAGTTGCCGTTTGACATTAGAAAACTGACAATTCGCATTGTGCACGCAAAATTGAACAATTGAATAAATTGTTGTGTTTTGACACACATATACAGAATATCGCCGCCGCAACAAACGATTGCCAAGTCTATCAACAAGTACCGTTTCGATCGAAAAATCATTGGAAAAAATACCACAAATTGACATCCGACAGAAAAGGTAACTTTATTTATCCCATATTCACAAATAGATCGATGGTAACATTGATTCAAACATTGTTGTACATCAGATTCAACGATGGCTGGTCAGCGCAAACATTTTTAATTTAATCAATATTTTTTTTGGTGTATTGAGAGTGAAATTTGTTTTGTGTATACAACTGTTTACTTGATGTAATGGTGATATAAATGGGTTTTGTCTGATTTTTCTTGTAATTTTTTTTTTATTTGGAATGATAATTTTGTTGTTGTTGTTGTTGTGCCGTATAATCAATGTGTCTTTTTCACGCTGTGCCAATAAGTGTATGGTTTCATTTATTCAAGTATATATGTTTGACAAGTTCCCGCTGCAACCATGGAAAAATCGCTTAGTAACACAATCGATGTGGAAAAACTTTTAATCGAAAGTGGTCTGAACGAAGACGTTCTAGAGAATATCTTCAAACGAATGGATGTTAGAGATTTATTGAAAGTATGCGATTTAGATGATGAGGATAATCGAACATTTGTCAATCTCATAAATAATCGCGTTGCCAATAAAATTCTCTTCGATTTTGACAAAATTCAATCGACGAAACAGAACAAGTGGACGGTTACCAGAGTGTTCGAGACATTCGGACTGGCGATGAAATTTTTGAAGGTATGTCGTAGGTTATTACGTAATACAGTACAAATTACCGTTAAATACTTTTTTCTTGTTTACTATCGTTTATTTTAATCTCGTGTTTTTTCCATAAAATTTTCAGGTATCAGTGACACCGCACGCATTCAACTATTTTCTAAGAAAAGTGATGGCATATTGTGCTCCCGATCGTCTAATCAAATTACAAATCGATCTAAATCACACAAACCAAAATCACGAATGGGAGCTGGATTATGAATTATTACAACAAACGGAGCCATATTTTCGTGGTCTGGAGCAACTCACGTTGCGTACCATTACATTGAGTAACCGAGGATTCCACAATCAGACATCAACAATGCAACGCTTTTTTTCGCGTCTTCATTTGCCAAATATAAAATGTGTGACACTTCAAAGGATGCGACTCACCGAAAGTTGGATGGACTTCTTTCCGAATAATCAAACAAGCCTAACTGAGTTACGTTTCTACAATGTACGATTGGCTGAACGTGTCAATGATTTTTCGGAATTTTTAGCACAAGTACCAAATCTCGAGGTATTCATACATACGGGAAGCTTAGCAAGAATGCACGAAGTGGCCGAAAAATTATTGCAAAAATTTCCTAATTTACGCGGTTTTGGCGGCACAGCTACCGATCATGAAATGCATGGCATTGTTTTTGGCAATGCCTTAAATTATCTACAAAAATTTAAAAATCTCCAAGAACTACATTTTCACAATGGTTTTCCATGTGAAAATATTCGTAGCGTTTTTCAATATGTACCAAATATTCGAGTGCTCTCAATATGGCAATTAGAATTAAGAAAATTACCGGTCGAATGTCGTCATATTGCAAATTCAATCAAAGAAATTGTCTGCGCTCGACGTGAACGCTCACCACATAGACATGTTGTTCGTGTTGAAGTGAATCAACATCAATACAACGAATTTATTGCCAATCAAAAGGCAGCGGAATACATACATTTAATATTGAATTAGGGCAAAAGATTAGTAGGGTTTGCACGCAAGTTTGATATTTCAAAATTGATTTTTTGTTAAATTAAATTTTAAAATCATTCTTTTTGTGCAATTTTGTATTCAAGTACCGTGTACATTTATCAAACACACATGCTTTATTCCGCTTTTATTCTACAACAATACATTCTGTCAATATATTTTACGAACCAAATCCGAACGGTGAGACAAGAAGAAGAAAAAAATCGCTAATAAACGTCATATATCATTGGAAACGTTCTTTTGTTTTTTTTTTGGTTTTCTTATTCTTTAAAAAAAAAATCATTGATTGAGGTGAGGTTGCTTTATTTCTTATTATTTCACTAGGTTTTATGGTTTTCAGACTCACAAGCACACCACTCTTTCATGCTGTGCGTGCACTTTGCAAGAAACATATTATAACATTGGTTTGTTATCATTATTTTCAAATGCGAACATAAAAAAAAGACTTGTGTCTACCCCCTAAGGATGTACTTGATTTGAAAGTGTCCTACTTCAAACGCCACATAAAATGGTTGAGCCGAACATATTCTCCACCAGGTGTTTGAGTCGTTTGTGCACGATGTCTGCGTGTGCAGTGCACAATGTGCATCACGACGTATATCTTTTGGCTCAACTCCTTCAAAGCACACATTTTTACTCATCGCGATGCGTATAACATTCACTCATTCGACAAAAACAATCTGCTCAACAAATTGCATGGATAAAGGTGCAACCTGAACGAAAAATGACAACCACATTTGGGATCCATGGCACTCAACTGTTGCATCATCGCGTGTGTCTGCATCTGCACCGATGAAAGCGATTGAACACCGTGCATATTTTCCACCAATTTCATTTTCGTCTTAACTATCGTCAAGCCTAAGCTAGACACACACACGATTGTGCCAAACAATGTTCGCTTTTTGCATCGATGCAAATTGTTGGTCGCTCTCCTCTCGTGAGAGAAATACCGAAATACTAGATGCTGAGAAAAAAAGAACTGAGTGTACGAAATTACTTTGGTGCCAGAATGTCTGCCCGATGCGAATCGATGCGGTATTTTGTGTATTCGATTGTATCACTACTACTTGTATCACTATTTGTCATATCTACGCTTATGCGGCGTAAACATGTGCTTAGTCTTCATATTGTGCGTGCCAACTGAGTGTAAAATGATACAAAGTCCATGATGACTGTTTACTATTTGATTATAATGCCAACACAATTACGGTGACTAATTAATCCCAATGCAGATTACCTGTGGATGTGGAGTTTGCAACATTGTCGGCGTTATTTTTTGAAATGGATGGAGAAATGTTTTAATTTATTATTATCAACGGAATGCCATTCATCAAATTCAATGAAACGTTACTGTTTGGGGATTTTTTGTGGAAGAATGGGAATGAGAACGAAGAGAGAGATGAAGAGCGAGAAAGAGAAAGAGAGCGAGAGAGAGAGAGGGAAAGCGGAAGAGATAAACGAAGGAAATAGAAATGAACAAGAAAAACTAGATAAAACAAGATAAAATAGTCTTTTGTCTTATGAAGCATACCACCGATCCGTTGCCGAGGTCGATGCAATATAAACGAGCAGCAGATAAGTGATGTGTGCCAAAAGATTGTTTGTTATTGTTTTAAATACATTTTTGCCGACGTATTTGGTATTGGTGTGCGTGACTTCGATTATAGCGTGTGTCAAGTTCGTGAGTGTGTTGAATGTTTGAATTTGAACAAACCGACTCTCTCTCTCTACCAAGAAATTCTTGGCACCATCCTCATTCATTTTAAGCCAACAGTCAGCGAGAATGGAAGTGGATTTTGTCCGCGTTGCAGTTAAAGTAAATTCAATTGTATAAAGTGTTGCAACCAAAAGCATATTGAGTGTGGTCAGGAATTTGAAAGAAATACACCAATTTCACGAATTTCGGAGGAAATTCCATTTGAATTTTGGACAATTCATGAACATTCTTCGGGAATTTTTTTATCGAAAACCAAATGAATTCTCGAACATTATTCAAATTTTGCACGTAAAATGTAAAGTCACGAAATTCCATTGCCACTGGCTTTGCACGGATTTACACATACAGTGGTTCAAGCTTTAATCACGATTTAAAATGGATTTCTACGAGTAAGTTTCCGGACTTTTTTTGTGTCCATTAAATATTTTCGATTTTTGTGTTTTTTTTAGATTTTTATCGGAAAGTGGTTGAAAATTGATTGTGAATGGTGATTTTAGGGAAATCTCTCCGAAGTAATTAGGGAAAAAAACTCGAAAAAAGTAAACAACGACAAAATAAATTGAGATGAAATCAGAGAAACCAACAAAAAAAAAGTGTGTGAAAAAAGCTTCTATTCAAATAAAGCAGACAATGTGTCTCCTTGATGCAATCTGCAGTACATACAGAGAGATAGAGAATAAAACGGTGTCCTTTTTAGTCATTCATCAAAACAAAATGAAAACAATTTAGAAATATTTCTGTAAAATATCTAACTTTTTGTTCTGAATTTCAAATTTAAACATTGTCCCAAACGCAACGGTTTTTCAAAAAAAAAAAAAAAAAAAAAAAAAAAAAAACTGAAAAAAGAAAAAACGAAGGAGTGTTCGAATTCTTGCCGAATTCTCTCCAGTTTCTCTCTTTCACTCGTTTGCTCGTGTGCTATCCCTCCGTGTAACGAGTTCAACGACACATCGTTGGTTGAGTGACCTACATTGAGATTGACCCAGAAAAGTGCTGTTGGGATGTCGTGCTCAACCGATTCGGTTGAGAAAATTTCTATTTTGTATTTCATCTGAAATTGTGTTTTTTCCATGGATTTTTCCACCTTCGATTTTTTTTCTCATCCACAAAACAAACCCACACAATTGTAATATCACAATAAAAATGTCGAATAAATAAATGATTTTACGAAGTGTAAACGAGAATGATTGTGAGAAAAGTATATGATGCGAACAGTATTCGATAAACATAACTTGTTAATAAAGCAACTTGGTGCAGACGAAAAACTGGGAATTTTCAATAAATAAAAAAAGATGGTTTAGTGTCGTGTTACTGAATTGTTTGATCATGAAAATTGTGTAAAATAGAGCATAGTTCAAATAAATCGAAGCAAATAGTGCTTTTAATAAATAATAATACGACTTTGTTGGTCCGTACACAGCATTTCTGGAGGAAAAGTCCTTTCACAACCGAAGAGCTTACTGTTGAAGAAAAAAATATGTGTGAAGATTTTTGTCGCAATTTCACGCAAATAATTTAAATCGATTTTGGCCATAATAAATTCAGTAAATATAAATCAGAACATTTCATTATAGATATATTTTTGAGAGCGCCATGGGCACAACGAGAAAATGTGTGTGTGAATGACAAAAAAAAAATAAAAATCGCGAACTATTGGCCGTATGCCATCGTTTTAAAGCCGAGAGATAATTGGATTTCGACTTGAGCCATATGTGGGCATCAAGGGCATGTTCAGTGCAATAAACTTGGACCACTATATTTCAAAGTCGTGTGTGCATTGTTTTTCCTGTATCATCCGCGAAAGTCAGCACAATTTTGAATATAAACCTATGGACTTATACGCAAATAATAATAATAAAAATGTGTCACCATTTGAACTAATTTATTGTGTATTCACATCTTATTTATGATTTCAAGCGAAACGATAAATTAACATTTCCAAACTTACTTCAATCGTTCTTTATTTTCTTCTTTTTTTATTCCATTATTATTTTCTCGCGTTCATCGAACAATTTTGGTGACCTCCAACCCAAATCGAAATAAAACTAGTGCTGCCGTTCAAGAAGCATCGTCGGGTGCAAAAGTGGACACTCAAATGACAGCGACCACAACAAATTCGGGTCAAAATGTTAAAGTAAAAGTGGTATCATCAAAGAAAAAAGGAAAAGGAAAATCGGCTGTGGACCCAACACAACCGGGACCATCGTCACTATTCATTCTTGGTGACACGAATCCAATTCGACGACTGTTTAAATTCATCATCGAATGGCCACCATTTGAATATACGGTTTTAGTAACAATTATTGCGACGTGCGTCACAATGGCAATGGAAGAACATTTGCCGGACAATGATCGAACACCATTGGCCATGAAATTGGAAGAGGCCGAACCAATTTTTTTGGGCATTTTCATTGTTGAGGCAGCATGCAAAATACTCGCAAACGGTCTCGTTTTACATCCAAATTCATATTTACGCGACGTATGGAATATCATGGATTTTGTTGTTATTACATCGGCGTAAGTGTGATACACCACTGTCCATTTTTTCTACAGTCGATTCTGTATGATTACATTTTTCATTGCAGACTCCTCACAATGATTCCGGCGATTGGTGAAAAAATGAATCTGAAGATTTTACGGGCGATTCGAGTGCTGAGACCGTTAAAACTGGTGTCCCGAGTTCCAAGTTAGTATTGAATCCATTGATGGAACATTGTTTACCTTTCTGCTTTCAAACTCAATTTGATTTTTTTTTACACACGTCTGTGCAGGTCTTCAAGTCGTTCTGTTTTCAATTTTGAAAGCAATGGCACCATTACTTCAAATCGCATTACTTGTTCTGTTTGCAATAATCATCTTTGCCATCATCGGTTTGGAATTTTACTCAGGCGCTTTGCACAATAGCTGCTACAGCATCGAAAATAGATGTATGTATTGAAAATAATAAGCTTTCTTCTTTCAGAAAATTTTCTATTTTGTTTTATTTAAAGAGCTTTTGCTCTCTTTCTCTCTTTTCATTTATACACATATTACAAGTTTATTTGCTTATTTTAAATGTTTCAGTTTTTATTTTCGATTTTTATTTATTCAATGGAGTCGACCGGGCGAATCAAAAACTGTCAGAAGTAAGGATTGAAAGCATTACATATTTATTGAAAGCAAGTTATGACATAAACATAGTCGATTCAAACGTAATTGTTTGTTAATCAATTAGAGTCCTCAATTCCTTCTGAAAATAATCGATTTTTAATTTAGCTGAACCTCCGGCATTCAAAAGTGTTTAGCGCAATCCCCCCGAGAAAAAACTCAACGCCTCTTAGATTTCGAAAGAAAATTGTAGAAGTGACACACTGACAAGTGAATTGAAATAGCATTTTTATGGACTCATATTTATGAGTGAATGGAGCAGTTACATTTGGTTATGACAGACACCGAAACTTTTCCCGTGTTTTTCCATACAATTTTTTTCATTTGAATAATACAAATCAATTTTGGTTTTTTTATAGTTCTATTTTTTTTCTCAATTTATGTCAACAGCTCTTTTAGTAATAGATGAACCCTAAAAAGTTTTTTTTTATTCCAAAACGTTAACATTTTACGACATGTAATTCATTTATCTTTATCAATGCAAACATATTGGATGAATCGATGAACTTCAATGATGTGTTCAGAGATGGCTACGAACATTCGAATTCGTGTTCGTTCGTGTTCGTTCGTAGAATTCTTTTTCGATTCGCGTTCGTTCGTATTCGTGAAGAACGCGAACGAACACGAACGAACACGAATTCGAATGTTCGTAGCCATCTCTGCGATGAAGATAAATGAAATTAACGTTTTAACACCCATTTTATTCGAAAATAATAACTTTCGTCGCACGTACAGGGGAAACGGTGCAAGAAAATGAAAAAGATGTTCCATGTAATCTGGAGAATAAGCCAGGCGCCAATCATTGCGAAACGAATGTCAGCTTGTGTTTTGAAGGATGGGTTGGACCTAATAAAGGTAATTTCAATATATTATCCAACATTTCCCCAGATATCTTTGAAAAATGTACCGTAAATTTGTTTGATTTTAAAGTTGCGGAGTAGTGAACCGATCAAAAGTAACAATTTTCAAAAATATTTCCAGGCATCACCAGTTTTGACAACATCGGTTTTGCAATGCTGACTGTATTTCAATGTGTTACCATGGAAGGATGGACACCAATCATGTATTGGACCAACGACGCATTAGGTCCGACATACAATTGGTTGTACTTCATTCCGTTGATTATAATTGGATCTTTTTTCATGTTGAATTTAATTCTCGGCGTTTTGAGTGGGTGAGTTGAACCTCGGCATCAATCAGTTGACGCCGATTCATAATTTCATATGATGTGATCCAAATGGTTGACGTTATAATGAATATTTGTCTTATTTTTTAGTGAGTTTGCAAAAGAGCGTGAAAAGGTTGAAAATCGCCAAGAGTTTATAAAACTTCGTCTAGCTCAACAAGTGGAGCGGGAATTGGATGGTTACGTGGAGTGGGTCTGTAGAGCAGGTAATGAAACGACATTTGAAAATGCTTCTTAGAAAATCTGTGCAAACCAATTGAAATTTCCAGAGGAAGTGATCCTGGCGGAAGAACGAACCACTGAAGAGGAGCGACAACACATTTTTAATGGTAAATTTTTTTTTCTGGACATTTTTCGTCTGTGATAGTGATTTTTGTGAGTAATTTTTCAATAATTGTGTCTGTTTCAGTGCGTCGTCGAAATGCATTAAAAAAGCGAAAATTGAATGCTGGTGACAAGTCAAAATCAACAGACACGGAGGATGAGAGTGCATTCGACGATGAAGGTACTTTATTTCAATTTTAAATCTTCGCCGTTCCCATATCAATGTTACATTTCTTTTAGATACAAAAACAAAGAAGAAGCGTGACGGTAGTTTTTGGATGGCTGAAAAGCGATTTCGATTCTGGATTCGGCACACCGTTAAGACACAGTGGTTTTATTGGTTTGTGATTGTGTTGGTGTTCCTGAATACGGTAACAGTGGCAGTGGAGCACTACAATCAGCCACAATTTCTTTCGGATTTTTTGTGTGAGTCTCTTCTCCATTCGTTTCCTCCAATATCAGTTCGTTCAAATTTTAATTTTTGTTCACAGTTTATACGGAATACGTGTTTTTGGCGTTGTTTATGTCGGAAACGTGTATAAAAATCTACGCAATCGGACCGTCAAAGTATTTTGAATCGTCATTCAATCGCTTTGATTGCATTGTCATTTTTGGATCATTATTCGAGATCATTTGGTCATATTTCAAAGGCGATTCATTTGGATTTTCCGTTTTACGTGCGCTACGATTATTGCGCATCTTTAAAATAACCGCATATTGGTCGGAATTACGAAATCTAGTCATATCATTGATGAATTCAATGCGATCCATCATTTCATTGCTGTTTCTTTTGTTCTTATTCATAATGATTTTTGCGATGTTGGTGAGTAAAAACCGTGTCTGGATTCGAAAAATTTGACATTTGATCAACCGAAAACAACATTCTCTTTCGTTTATTCTTAAAAAGGGGATGCAATTGTTTGGTGGAAACTTTAACTTTGAAGAGGGAACTCCGTCGTCGAATTTTAACACATTTGGCATCGCTCTATTGACGGTTTTCCAGATTCTTACCGGTGAAGATTGGAATGAAGTGATGTATATGGGCATTGAATCACAGGGTGGCATTAATGGCAATGGAATGATTTACTCAAGGTCAGTGGTTTTACTTTTTCATCCGTACATGGTGTGTAAGGGGAAAGTATTTTGCATAGGTTAAGGCTCTTAAGGGTCCTTTGGTTTATGAATTCACTGTCTGAGATTTTTAATTTCCGAAGCGTTTTATGGATGAAACTGAATTTTCCTATTCGATCAACCGAATAAGTTTAATTTATGGCTTTGACACTAGATTTTGGATAATTCGAAACGATTTCAGTCTGACAAACAGCTTCTTGGACCAATTTTAGCTGAAAACAACAAATTTTCTTCTTTGACCCAAAAAAATTAATCGAGTACCTTTTTTCCTTTCTCCAGTTACTTCATAATTCTAACGTTATTTGGGAACTACACTCTATTGAACGTTTTCCTTGCCATTGCCGTTGATAATTTGGCGAATGCCCAAGAGCTGACTGCTGCCGAAGAAGGAAAGGCGGAAGAAGACCGAGAGAAACAACTGCAAGAGCTCAAAAAAGAAATGGAAGCCCTTCAAGGTGACACTGGTAAACCAGATTAAAAATTACTTATTAATTATTATTGATTGTTTTACGATTATTTTTCGATTAGTTTCCGATTACTTATCGATTATTTTAAACTTTATTCTTTTCTTTTGTGATTCTCCCCTTAGGTAAACCAGAGGGGAGTGGCATTGACGCAGAAAAAGAAGAGGAAAAACCACAACCACCAGAAGAAGAGTCTGGACCGAAACCGATGCTTCCGTATTCGTGCATGTTTATTTTATCACCAACAAATCCGTAAGTCTTATATTCGAATCATGAAAATGTCATCTTTACAATGAAAATCTGTTAATTCACAGAATTCGTCGTGGTGTGCATTGGTTTGTCAACTATCGATTTTTCGATTGGTTCATTATGATTTTTATCGGATTCTCGTCAATCGCCTTGGCAGCAGAAGATCCAGGTAATTTTTTTAGAAGAAAAAGAAACAATGACAAAATTTCGGTTTTGATCCAATTCGAAATTACGCCGTGTATGTCGTTCCTTAATTTGCACTTCGCATAATTATCAGATTCCATAAAGTTTTCTTTATACTGCTAAAAGTAATCAAGATTTCTTACTTGCTCGCAAATCATGATAAGTTGAGTCATTTTGATTAGAAAAATTTAGTATACAGTAAAATACATAGGTCTTTGATCATCAATAATCATCTTTTCATAATAAAAAACCAACAATTTAATTTCTACTTTCGGTGATCCTATCCTATTTTCTTCGACAAAAAGAGTAGTTTCTAATTTGTGCAAATTACATGTTTTTATTTCAAATGATGAAAGAACTTAAGAATTTAATCAGGTATTTTTGCTGTAATTAAATTCCATATTGATGAACTAGCGCTTTGTTTATCCGAATTGAATTGGTCTCGATTGGTTCAGGTTTAATCTTATTTCTTAAGATGATGAACGGTTTTCATGTGGTGGTTTACACTACCTTGCACTGCAAATCGTGCATCGCATAGTTTGCATGGAAATGGTTTTTCACCCGTATGATGGCTTCGCATGTGAAGCTTTAATTGACATGAATCTGTCTTTAAATCTTTACACAAGTAGCACTGATTCAGGCGACGATTGCAACGTTCTTCGTGTGCTTTCTTATCGCCTTCTTGTACAAATGGTCGATAGCATTTGGCACAACGAAACGGACGTTTTTTGGCATGTGCTGCCAAATGTTGCATAAGATTGCTCTTCTGAGAAAATTCCTTTTCACAAACACCACATTGGAATGGTTTTTCGCCCAAGTGTTTTGCTTGCATATGGTGCTTCAAATTGGTTTTGCAAAAACATTGATGTGGACAGAGATAGCATTGGAATCGTCGGCATTTGCATCGATCCTCATGCAATTGTTTTTCATTTTCTTGAGCGAATCGATGACCACATTTGACGCAGGCAAACGGCAGTTGTTTGACGTGAGTCCGCAAATGCTGTTGTAGAACATATTTTCTTGCAAATGTTCTAGAACAAATGTGGCATGCGAATGGCTTAACGCCACTATGGATTCGCATGTGTTGCTTTAGATTTGACATGTCCCGAATGGCTGTTCCACATAGGTAGCATGCGTACTGGTGAACTTTGCATCCATTTTCATGGTTGATCTTTACAGCTTTTTCTGTAAATCCTCTACGACACTTTGAACAATTGAACGGAAGTTTTAGACTATGGATTTTCTTGTGCTTTTTCAAATTGCTTTTGTCTGCAAAAGCCAAGGCACATATTTCGCATTCAAAAGGCTTCTCGCCAGTGTGGATTCGAATATGTTTTGTGACATCTGATTTTAGCGATGAAGTATAATCACACAAATGACATTTGTGTTTCTTCTGTCCACTTGCCACTGGTTTCTTCGGAACTTTCCCTTTGCGATCTCTTTTTGCGCCTTTGTTCTTCTTGCTATCACCCTTTCGTTCCCGATTTGCTACCTTGTTGTTCATCTTTGGTCTTGGTCCGCATGAGCCTTCACCAACTAATTCATCTTTATCTGCATCGGCTTTCGAGCATCCGTCTTCCTCTTTTTCACATTTCTTCGTCAAGCATTCGTCTTCGCACTTGATTTCCTTCTTCAAATTCTCCATTTCGCTGTCACTTTCGCTCTCTGATTTGATTGAGGTGTTTGCTTCGACTGACGATGGTGGTAGTGGATAATGAAGCAATTCGATGCCATCCATGAGTTCTTCTTTAACCACAACTTCTTGCTTCACAGTGACCTTTGTGACTGATCGTTTGCATTTACATTTGCGTTTCATCTTTCCACAACTGGTTCGTTTGCTTTGATATGGATTCATTGTGACTGTAGCTATAATAAATCAGACAGAAAGAGAACAAATTCAGTCAATAGAAATATACGTACAACACAATCATCAAATTTCAAAATGTTCCAGCAAAAAAGTAATGAAATGACGTCATCGAATTTTCGAGAAATATTGGAACACACCGATTGATTGTCTAAAGGAAAGATTCCAAATACAAATAAAATGTTCGGACCAGAAAAGTATGTAAACTAGAAAACTGCCATAAAATAAGTTTCAGGTGGTAGAAAAATAAACGTTCATCTAATTTTTATGGCGCAAAATCTGCTCCAGGCTAATTTTTCTAATCTTTTTCAACAAACAAAATTATTAATAATTTTTTCCCAAAATTGTACTTTTGGCGATTTAGAATTTTTCAAATAATTTAGCTACAAATAATCCAAAAACTCACCTTCTAATATTATTTCGTTGATGCAACAAATAAAATTCCAATATTGTTGGCACAAAATGTGTGTTTCCCATCAATGGCCGTCTGATTGTGAGCGTCTCCAATCACTGTGTGCGATGATGAATCAGCATTTCTGAATTCTGTGAAAAATGGCGCGCAAAGCTTCAATTGTGTTGGTGATTCGATGGAACGAGTTGAAGTTGGCTACACTCAGCCGGTTGCCATTCATTCGAAAATAAGAAAGCTGTTATTAATTTTTGGAGACAAAATGATAAGATTCATCTCGAAAATCCTCCAGACGTTTGCATTTCATTGAAATTTGAATCAATTTTAGTTTTGAATCGACATGAAAACTAATCGGAAGAGATGCTTCTCAGGGATTTATGATTATTTAATTCTTTCAATTCGAATGATCATGAATGCAACAAACGGGAATGACATCATTTTTTTGAAGTTCATGACATTTTTTTATTGATATTCATACACATTGACGCTATTCTAAAAATTGTTTACATTTAACTAATTTGCATTTTAAGAAATGTCACAATGATTGTATTTTTGTTTCCAATTGTAGTGGTTGAACATTCTCCACGGAACATATTCTTGGAAAAATTGGACTACATTTTTACTGCAGTGTTCGCTGTGGAAATGTTTTTAAAAATCATTGACTTGGGAGTGATTTTCCATCCGGGAAGCTATTTACGTGAATTTTGGAATATTATGGTGACTTTTTCATACCTTTTACGACAAAAAATCATTGAAAAAATATTTTTCCCAAATTTAAATGTTCTTTTCACGATTTGGAATTTCAGGATGCGGTTGTGGTTGTTTGTGCGTTACTCAGTTTCGGATTTAAGTTTTTGTAAGTTCATTTGATGTATTTATTCTTTTTTACTTTTCTGCATACACCCTGTAAGGGGAAGTATTTGTGAATGGAGATCATAGTCAAAGACAGACAACATGTTCCTTTGGTTTTTCTATGGCAATATGTAGTCTGTTCATTGTGCAAAATACTCTTATAGTTTGGGTTGAAAGCAGTAGACTGAAAACTAGGCCTGTTGAATGGGTATGCGAAAGCATAGCATCGTTCCCTCCCAATATGGAACTTCACCTCTCTTTTACAAAATCATTGCGAAAATGATGTTACTTTGACTTTACGTTAGAATGAAGAAGATGTCACAATGCAGATACATCAACTCTCTTAGTTTTCAGTCCACCGCCCTTTTCAACCATAAAAGTCACCTTTTTAATCTAATGACCTCTTCATTTTCTCCCACCGAATAGTGCTACAATGAAAATTCTTCGTGTCCTTCGTGTATTACGTCCGTTAAAAACCATCAAGCGAATTCCGAAATTGAAGGCAGTTTTCGATTGTGTGGTCGGTTCGTTGAAGAATGTTGTTAATATTTTGATCGTATATTTGCTGTTTCAATTTATATTCGCCGTAATTGGTGTGCAATTGTTCAATGGGAAATTTTTTCACTGCACCGATGAGAGTAAGCACAATGAAAGGGATTGCCAGTAAGTAGACACTTCATTCGAACGCTTCTGATTGAGCAAAGTTATAAAATGTGTGATTTCATTTCAAGGGGTTATTACTTTGTGTATAAGTCGGGCGAAATTTTACCGACCGCAGAGGAACGTAAATGGGAACTACAGAGTTTTCATTATAATAATGTCGCATCGGCAATGTTGACTTTGTTTGCTGTACAAACTACTGAGGGATGGCCAACGTAAGTTAAATCCACCAACCGAATACGTTTATTTACGTTCTTCTTAAAGTCATGAAATTATAAATTCACCTTATTCACTTTGCTTCTCAGTGTGCTGATGAATTCGATGGCGGCCAGTTTCGAGAATAAAGGACCAATCCCATACTATCGAATGGAAATGTCAATATTTTACATAGTTTACTTCGTAGTGTTTCCATTTTTCTTTGTAAACATATTTGTTGCGTTGATCATTATTACGTTCCAAGAACAAGGGGAGGCTGAACTTCAAGATGGTGGAATTGATAAGAATCAGGTTTTTCCTCCTCCTAAATCTTAACTGCTTAACATGTTTGATCAATAATTTTCTGTTTTCAGAAATCGTGTATTGATTTCGCCATCAATGCAAGACCCTTCGCTACATATATACCGCCTATGCATAAGCATTTTAAATATAAAATATGGAGCATGGTTGTGTCACAGCCATTTGACTACTTTATCATGTTGTTGATTGTATTGAATACATTGCTTTTGATGATGAAGGTTTGAAGTTGGAATTCTTTCACGGGTTCTTTGACGCCGTTTTCACAAACATCCATCTCAGTTGTGCATTGAGCTTTTTTGCATATCCATTTCGAATGGAAGTGGCAATCAGACATTGTATTGAGATAATTTCATCCAAATGAAATAGATATTGTCAGTGAATTTGGCTGTTCTTTGTCAGAGACGTGAAATCTGAAGAGGGCACCTTGCCTCAAGACAAAGGTGACCCCTGTGTATTACCTGCATATTTCTCTCTTTGGAACTGATACATCTCACCCTTCCACTCTCATTAAAAACAGCAGCAACGACTCAATCAGATGATTTATTTCAATATTCTAATATCTGGTGTCAATTTCCCACCTTTTTCATAATTTTTGTTTAAAGAAATGTCTTTAGTTTGATTTCATAATTCATCCGCTTGCCGCCGGCCATACAAAATTGACGGGCAAGCTCCACTTTTCACAATCGACAGTTGAAGAGATGGACATCGACTTGGATACAAATAAAAATTCAATTCCATGACTGAGACGGATGAAGTGTTTTTGTGAAATTTGGCGCCAGTGACCACCGGTCGAAATCGGAGAATTTTCAAGAACAAAAATAACTTTTTTTATTGCTCAAACAGTCACATGGACAATCAGAAGGCTTTGATAGTGTGATGCGATACATAAACATCGTATTCACAACTCTATTTTCATGTGAATCAATTTTAAAAATTTTGGGATTTGGTATTAAGGTAATACAAATGAACTCTTTCGGGTGAAAAATAAAAACAACCAAATCGATTTTCTTCTGCATAGAATTACTTCAAAGATGCGTGGAACACATTTGATTTCATCACGGTCATCGGTAGTATAATCGATGCTGTTATATCGGAAGTTACGGTAATTATGTGCTTTTTCCTTTCTCCGCATGAAACATGAATTTCGTTTTCTTCACAAAATTTAATTGATGCATTTTCTTCCGCAGGTTGACATCAAAGAGAAGGTACTGATCTTTCGGCTCACGTTTTTCAATTTCCGTATTTCGTCTTGACACTGAAAACGAACAAAAAAAAAATGTTGATTTTACGCAACACACAAAAAGTGTGTGCGGAAAAGTACAAAAAAAAGAATTGAAACGCAAAATGGAAAGAAAATGCTGTGATCCAAACCGTTACGTGTGTATGCCAGCACCAATTCACTGCACAGCACACAATTAAAGCACACATCGTCAACCGTTGCGTGCGGTTCACAGCATTTGAAACAAAATTTTGCATGCATTTCATTCGCCTTCAAAGTTTCAATTAATGTTTGGGAAAAATTCGATTTCAGATCGCATACAAAGACATCAAAAATACGGAAGAGTATATGGCTTGGGTGGCAAGTATCAATTCTCGGACAAAAAAAAAAACAATTGCACACTAGTTTCTCTTAGCAAAACTTCACCTCATCATACATTTATTTTGAAAACCAAAAAAAAAAAAAGACTAGTAGCTTTTGAGTTTAAGCATTCTGGTAAATTAGCACTAATCATTTTCGTTTTTCTTTTCTCAATTTTTTTCAATTTTCAACACAAATCAATTTTTACAGTTTTCATCCAATTTTATCTCGCATGTTTCGTGCTTTTTGGCTGATCATAAATTGCTGCGAATGACCAAAAAAAAAATTTGATTCTTCCTAACAAATACCAAATCAGAACTATTTGCATTAATTGTACCTCAAAACAAACCCTACCTCTTTCACTGAATACATGCAACTAGGCTAATACATTCAACTTGGGATTCTTGCGATTGTTTCGGGCGTCACGGCTCATCAAACTGTTGCGACAAAGCTACTCCATTCGAATACTACTGTGGACATTCGTTCAATCATTCAAAGCACTGCCATATGTATGCCTATTGATTGCCATGCTGTTTTTCATTTATTCGGTGGTCGGAATGCAGGTAAATATCATTTACTTCGAATAGGGCTGAAAAAAGAAATAGTAACATCCGAAAACCATCGGTGGGCAGACTTTTTGTGCATGGTCGGCAAATGGCTGGTATAGGGGGGAGGTAGATTGACCAGCAAAAAAACCCTATCAAATCGAAAACCCTATCGAAAACCTATCAAACCCTATCATCCTTAAAAACCGAAAAACGTAAAAATAAAAACTTCTTCCTCGTAAAAACCCCTAGCAAATACGAAAAATTTGAAAAGTTCCGTTAGGGAAAATCCAATTTGTTTCGTTTTGTGATGATGGGGTAGTAAACTACCGAAACCTAACTCCCTCTGCCCACCTATTTCTCCCTCATCAAAATGACTCAATTGTTACTCCTTCTTTTTTCACCAATTCAAAGCAACAATTTGACTTGCAATTGCAAATCTTAATTCAAAATTGAATTTTTCCCCGTAGGTTTTTGGGAATCTCAAAATGGATGCGAACACTGAAATCAATCGACACAATAACTTTCAAACATTTCTCGCCGGATTGATGCTGCTGTTTCGGTGAGTGAAACTCAATAATGTATAACTGAGCGTAGTTGACTTACCCATGTATTTTATTGGCACAAATTCAGATGTGCAACAGGTGAAGCGTGGAATAGCATCATGCTTGCGTGTTTACCGGGACACTGCGATGTGAAAACTGGCAAATTTGGAGATGGAGATTGTGGTTCGCCGATGGCCTATGGCTATTTTGTTTCATTCATTTTTCTTTGCTCGTTTTTGGTAAGATTTACACCATTGTGCCGTCATTCTTCATTTATTGTCCCTGCATTGAGTTCGTTTTTCAATTTCAGATGTTGAATTTATTCGTTGCGGTCATTATGGACAATTTCGATTACTTGACACGGGACTCAAGTATTTTGGGTGCTCATCATTTGGATGAATTTATTCGAGTTTGGGGAGAGTATGACTTGAGCGCTGAGTAAGTGACTAACATGGGTCCCAAGTTGGGTTTGAATGTAACAATCTTTTTTTTATATCAAACAATTTTAGTGGAAAATTGCACTATCAAAAAGTGTTCGAAATGTTGAAAAATATCGAACCGCCGCTTGGTTTTGGTAATAAATGTCCAAATAGCGTTGCGTATAAGAAACTTGTCCGAATGAATATGCCGATGGACGATGATAAACGAGTTGGTTTTACAACTACACTATTTGCACTGATTCGGGAGAATTTAGCAATCAAAATGAGATCGCGTAAGTGATTTCGATTCCTTGTTTTCTCTGTTGTGCCAAACGGAGAACATGATACTCTTCCATGTGCTAGTTCAATTCAATTTTCAATTCAAATTCTCTTATTTATTCTTCTTTTTGTAGCTGAAGAGATGGATGTTGCTGATGATGAACTGCGTGAAACAATCCGTATGATTTGGCCGCTGCAAGCCGATAAAATGACCGATTTATTGGTGCCAAGAAGAGTGAAAGGAGATAAAAGAACGCTGACAGCCGGTAAAATCTATGCCGGTCTTTTGATACTTGAGTCATGGCGAACGACGCGTTTTGGTAAATTACAGAGTCATTTGGGGGTGAGTCCGTTTGTGATTAGAATATTGTGGATTTATTTGTTTCCAGCCGTTTGTTTGAAAAAAATGTGCTTGAGAACTGTTTAAGCTAATTCTCTTGAATTTATCTCCTGAAGGGATTAAAACTAACCGATTTGGCGTCTGGCCATGCAGAGGACGAAGTATCAAAAGACATGGACTTACACATTCAAGAAGACGACATGTTGTCACCCCGAACAAGGTGAAAAATAATTGGTTTCCTTTATTAAACGTGCAATTCAAATGATTTTATTTAAATTTAGGAGAGAATTGGACGAATCCCAGCGGGACTTTGATCGATATACACGAAATGAATGGGTGGACTTTGTGCAAGAAAAACGACGGCACCGCACACGCTATCGGCGCAGTCATGTTCCATACAGAGGTAAAGTTGGAATTTGATTGCATGCAAAACAGATAAAGATTTCTCAAGGGCATGACCCAGTTTTATTTGAAAATCTGAAAAAAAAAATATTCGTGTTTGATTTAAACAGACACATGGTCGGCATCATCAAGCCCTGGTCATTCGCCGTCACGTGGTGGCCGATATCATTATGACGATACCGACTATTACTTTGGAAATACAAACCTTGGAACGAGATCACGATCGCCAAGTCCATCACAAGGCAATGCTCATCGACACGAGGGTAACGGAACAAAAACGGCAAAGGCCAAATTAATTTACAAAATTTATGTTTTATCTTCACAGGAGGCATACTTCATCATTATTATCTAGGACATCCGATATTTCGACGTCGATTGCCGATTACACCAAACAAACCAGCTACTCTTCCACTACCACAATCAAGCGTTCGGTTTCCGGCATTAAATCCGAGTCCAACTCTCGTATGTATTGAGATTTCCCATTTCATTTAAACACCGTTTCAAGGCTAATTTTGTGAATTAAACATCCATTTCAGTTCTATCGACCGCTGCATCATTCAGTGGCCACTCCGCACAGTGTTCATTCATTTCCACATGCGCCAAATACAATGTACAATCGTTATAATTACATGCACGGCACAAGTTTAGATGATAACATCGTCGGATACCATTTTCGTGATCGTGAACGCGAACTTTATGAGCGACAAATTGAGTTTGAACGTGAACTCGATCAGGAAAGGTTAGATTGAATGCGAACCACATTTATTTCTTCTTCAACTAATTCGAATATTTCAAATAGGATTGAAGCATTGGCCACACCAAATTCACCGTTATCGTTCGAAGCTGCAATGGCCATGGGGCAAAGTGGTGGTTTCTATCCATCGACTTCCGCAAATAAATACAAAACGAAGCCAACGTCTGTCTTCAGTCATCAGAATGATGGGGATTGGTGTTGAGATAAAAAAAAAATCGAAATAAATAATTTTTTTATATTCTATACCGAAATAAGCCTTCAACGAATAACCTCGCCTTTATACTTAAGCCTTTAATAATAAAAAATTAAACGATAATCGTTAATCTCGTTTAGATTTACATAATTGACTGATAAAATATGCTCATACAAATATGTTTAGACATCGGTGATGCAAAAAGCTTTCAATTAATTTAAAAAAAAAATTAAATAAATAATGATTACACTTCTAGAAGGTGCAATTCACGAATTAAATATTTCATTCTAGGAAATTTAGATAACGATTTTGCTGAATCAAAAAAAAATGCGAAGAAATCAATTCAAGTAAAATCAATCAATAGATCTGCATAGGCACAGTTGTAATGCCAATGAAATGGATTGCTGACGATTTTTAATCTCGTTTGTGGCAAACCGTGCTGCAGTTCAGTTTATTGGGGCTACAGCTAAAGTTTTAACACGTCAAAATGTTGAACATCAAAATTTGTATTCATAGCGATTATCGATCGCACAAAATTACTATATTCATAACGAAATAATTTTCCGATACTTCATATTTATAGTGTTTTATAAAACCTAAACAAATAGATTCTAGTCAATTGAAGCCCAATGACGGCGACACTCGTCAAACATTTATATTAATACTAAATCTCGAATCAATAAAATCATTTCAAATTTGAACGAAACATATTCGACGTTGGTGGTTTTAATCTGATGGAAGCTCATAATAACGCAAATGGCATGTTTTTCTTGATATGAAAATCAAATAAAAAATTCAAATTATTATTAAATTATTTTTATTAAATTTCTGATAATTCTGTTGAGTAATGATTTATTTTAACTAAATTTCTGTTCGTATTGTTGTTTTTGCGTTGAAGGAATTTATGAATGAATATTATTTGATCGTTATTCTGTAACTTTGATCGTATGGAAAATGATTTCGAAAGAGTAGTGAACAATATGATGTGATTTAAATGCTTTCAGATTAATATTCGGTTACTCCTTCTGACGATGAACGGTTTTCATGTGGTGTTTAGCAGAAGCTTGCATTGCAAATCGTGCATCACATAGTTTGCATGGAAATGGTTTTTCACCCGTATGATGGCTTCGCATGTGAAGCTTTAATTGACGTGAATCTGTCTTTAAATCCTTACACAAGTAGCACTGATTCAGGCGACGATTGCAACGTTCTTCGTGTGCTTTCTTGTCGTCTTCTTGTACAAATGGTCGATAGCATTTAGCGCAACGGAACGGACGTTTTTTGGCATGTGCTGCCAAATGTTGCATAAGATTACCTTTTAGACAGAAATTCTTTTCACAAACACCACATTGGAATGGTTTTTCGCCCCAGTGTTTTGCTTGCATGTGTCGTTTCAATTGGCCTTTGTCAAAACATTGATGCGGACAGAGATAGCATTGGAATCGTCGGCATTTGCATCGATCCTCATGCAATTGTTTTTCATTTTCTTGAGCGAATCGATGACCACATTTGACGCAGGCAAACGGCAGTTGTTTTACATGAGTCCGCAAATGCTTGTTTAGATTCCGTTTGATTACAAATGCCTTGGAACAAACATGGCATGGGAATGACTTAACGCCACTATGGATTCTCATGTGGCGCTTTAGATGTGACACATCATAAGTGGTAGTTCCACATAAGTAGCACGCGTACTGGCGAGCTATGCATCCATTTTCGTGGTTGATCTTTTCAACTTCTTTTGTAAATCCTCTACGACACTTTAAACAATTGAATGGGAATTCTGAACCATGGATTTTCTTGTGTTGATTCAAATTACTCTTGACTGCAAAAGTCGCGCTACACATTTCGCATTCAAAAGGCCTCTCGCCAGTGTGGGTTCGAATATGTATTGTGACATTTGGTTTGTGCGATGAGGCATAATCACATAAATGACATTTGTGTTTCTTCTGTCCACTTGCCACTGGTTTCTTCGGAACTTTCCCTTTGCGATCTCTTTTTGCGCTTTTGTTCTTCTTGCTATCACCCTTTCGTTTTCGATTTGCTCCCTTACTGTTCAACTTTGGTTTTGGTCCGCTTGAGCCTTCACCAACCAATTTATCTCTATCTGCTTCGGCTTTCGAGCATCCGTCTTCTTCTTTTTCACATTTCTTCGTCAAGCATTCGTCTTCGTACTTGATTTCCTTCTTCACAGGTTCCATTTCGCTGTCACTTTCGCTCTCTGATTTGATTGAGGCGTTTGCTTCGACTGGCGATGGTGGTAGTGGATAATGAAGCATTTCGATGCCATCCATGAGTTCTTCTTTAACCACAACTTCTTGCTTCACCGTGACCTTTGTGGCTGATCGTTTGCATTTACATTTGCGTTTCATCTTTCCACAACAGGTTCCTTTGCTTTGATATGGATTCATTGCGACTGTAGCTATAATAAATCAGACAGAAAGAGAACAAATTCATTCAATAGAGACGTACGTGCTACACAACCTATGATGACAAGCATCAAATGTCAAAATGTTGCACACAAAAATCATGAAGTGACGTCATCGAATTTCTAAGAAATATCCGACGCACGGAATGAAAGGAAAATTTTTAACATGATCATAAATGTTGAAAAAAAAAACGCGAAAATTTGATGATCTTCATGAAATATGTTTTAAAAGTAGAAATTATAAAAGTTCATCTAATTGTTATATTACAATATTCTACTCCAGACAAATTTTTCTGATTAGCATCTTTTACGACAATTAAATCAAAAAATATTTCTTCTTTCTCCAAATTCAAATGTTCTTTTCGCGATTTAGAATTTCTGAAATAATCTAACAGCAAATAGCTTACCTTTCAAATTAGTTTGTGCACAAATAAAATTTCAATACTGTCTGCATAAATGTGTGTCTCTTTCTAATGGCCGCCTGCTTGTGAGCGTTCCCAATCACCGTGTGTGATTATGAATCAGCAACATTGCCTTGGTGCAAAATGACGCGCAAAGCTGCAATTGTGTTAGTGGTTCCAAGAACCGAGTTGAAGTTGGTCAGCAGCGGGTTACCAGACATTCAAATCGAGAAAGCAGTTGATTTCAGGAGGAAAAATGATACAATTTGTTTTTTCATAATAAAAAAACCATGGCCGCTTTATTTTCGTTTAGCCAACAGCTTTGTTCCAAATTTTCATATTTTCTGTACAAAACTTGTATCTCCTTGGATATAATGAATCTTAAATCGTTCTGCTTGGACGTACGACACCGCTTGTGCACATAGAGACGAACAAGCAAGCTGCTACGCAACTTTGCGTTTCAAGCGAAGACATGAGTTCAAAAGCAGCGATTAAAATATCGAAATCAAATGACGAATATAATGCTTTTCGGTAGAATTGGCTCATATTGTTTTTATCATGAATCATACAATAATTTCTGGTGAAATCAAATTGTTTTTATTTAACATACATGTTTCCTTATATACGACGAAGTTTTCGTCACGAAGATAAGGCAAAAGCTGGAGAAACAAAACATGTGGTTTTCGTGGGAATGATTTTTTTACTTTATTTCAAAAATTGGAGTTTCCGATTTTCTAATCGCAAGTTTAAATAATTTACATTTTCATGGAACAATCAAACGTCTTGACTAACTAAAACCATATTTATAAATTTCAGAATACTAGTCTAAAGATCAATTCCAAAGTTATGATGCCATTCATATGAACTGTGTTGTTTTAACTGGATCAAAGAGTAATCCGTTGATCCTTTTGCCCATTTTGTTGCCAGAAAAGTTTTCTCATCAACGTAAATCGTTACCTTGTTTGCCTGCTCTAATTTTTCACGTTCTCTGTTTAATAATGATAGATTTAAATGGCAATGGCGAATTTCTTGGATTTTGATTTTCATCAATTTTTTCGAGTGACGAATGAATGGAAGCATTTCTTCAAATCTGTGGAGAAAGCTGAAATAAATCCGTTCAAGGTTGATGAGATTCCTTGAAATATTGTGAAAATATGATTTACTTAAGGTAAATTCAAAGAAGCACAATTCTTTCAGGTTGATTAAAGTGGGTATGTCCACATTATATGTAATGCACAATTTTTCCACGCCGAATAATGAATCAACATTGCTGGCATTGTCCAATGGACCATATAAGTGTAATTTCTGATAAAATCCACGATGATGAAGCTCGTTTAACAAGTTGTAAAGCGACTGTCCCTCTTGTTTGCCCGAATCAACGAAGACTGCAAATGTCTCCAATTTTATGTCAACCTCGTCAAATACCGTTCTATTTTTCAAAAGCAACATTGAATTTATTGCAAAACGTCGTAATGTTCGATTTTGATCAAAAAATGTTTTCAATTCATGGATTTCATAGCTTTTATATGGTTGATACAACTCCAAATGTTCAATTTTTGGATATTCTTTAAGTAACCAATCATTTCCACTTCCAATTATTATTCCTTCCGTAAAATATTTCCGTTTTCCATTCAGAGTAATTCTCAGATACTTTAAGTTTGTACAAAACTTAAGAACATTTTTATAAAAATTGCCATTTAGTGAACAATTCTCCATTACGATGATTTGTACTTTGTTCAGCATGCGTTTGATGAACTTGACTTTCCTTGAATAAAGATGGCAATTCAACAAATGAAGGCGCTTGAGTGATGCACCATGGATTGATTCAGCATTACAGAATAGTTGCTTAGAAGTACCTTTCAGCAAAATGTTTTGAAAGAATTCCTTGAAATCATCTACTAAATGGTCGTTTATAAAAAAACCATCGCATCTAATATCTGTACGTGAGACTGCAGCATAATTCAATTGGTAGTAAGTTTCGGCGACTTGTTTGGCCCATTTGCATGTTCTACCGAACGACTGTACGTCATTGAGTGACAAACATCGGAATATTTGGAAGCAACAATCGTCGATGAGATTGAAAATCGGCGGATCTTCGATTGGAACAGCCACATTTAGCTGATCGCTCGCGATGCCATTGCATTTTAACAAACTCTGGCATATGGGTGGGGCATCACCAATTGATTCAGTGTTGTGATACGGTTGTATGGAGGAAGGATTTTCTGTCGAAAGGCTTTGAATGAATTCTTGGAAACCATCCACTAACCAGAGGTCGATCAAATTAGGTGATATCAACTCATTGATTGGATTACTCATATTATGTTGATCGGCTGTGTTCGTCATTTTCATGATCTTTGTCTCACATTGCTCTTCACTGGCTCGTCTTTTTGACATGATGATGAAGGTTTGTTCTTTTTCTTGTTAACGATATCTCACACTGGGACGATTTTTCGAAGAGTTACCTCTAGATTAAATTAAATTAAACGTTAGAATCTTTATTGATTTGGTTTATTTATTTTCTTATAATACAAAGAAAATCATACACATAAAACTTTATCAACTTTAAATACTATATTTTACAAATATTATACACGCACTGCAGATTTTTATATAAATTCCCAGTGATGGTTTTTTCCTATCTGAATAGCGCTAGCTATTCGCAGCGTCTGAACAGCATTGCTGCCCAGATGCTGAATCGAAGCGGTTGCCGCACGCGTTTTGTACCACACAACATATTGTCATATAGTCTAAGTAACCAGTGAGCTCACACTATGAGTATGATACACTAATACCATAGTCAGTATACAAACGCATGTCGAACGGAGAACGAACGCGAACGTATATGCTCTTTGTGGTACAAACCTAGGGGGAAAGAACAAGCCAAAAAGCTAAAAAAATACGATTCAATACACAAAATAAATGTCAATACGTGTAAATACGTGTAAATACGTGTAAATACTTGTCAATACTGGAAATTAATGTAAATACCGGTAAATACGCGTAAATAAAAACTTCGTCAATCGCTAATGTCAAACTGTCTTATCGACTGAATTATTCATACAAAAAACTCTAAAAAGTATACTTTTTGTAAATAAAAAATAAAAATAAAATTTTTTTTTAATGTTTTTTAGCGGAAATTAATTTTCTTTTTAATTTTGCTGGGATTTGTGCGGTGATTATTCGCTGATTATTAAATCAGAAATAAATATGCGTAACATAACCTCACTTTTAATTACGTAATTAAAATTTACGCATTTTTTTATTCATTTATTTATATGTAAATATTTTGAACGGGATTGGTGCTAGGATTGGTGTCACAAAAATGAAAATAAAATTAATCCCTAGGGGGATTCCGCGCTCTTAAATATGAATAAATATGAACAAATTCGGGGGATTTCGACAAATTCAAGAGATGTTAACACAACTTTACGTTTTTTGGGAGATATTTTGAGATTTTCTGAACTGCAATACCGACAATGTTGAACTTGACAAGAACAGGGAATGAAGAAGTGGTGAATTATTATGACAGCTTCTATATATTAAAAAATATATTGATTTGTTCTGATTAACTATTTGTTCAATCTCTTTTATACTTTGTTCATTTAAATTACTTAATGACGCTCTATCGATTGCACAGACAGCCAAAATATCTTTAATAATTTTTGGAATTTTATATTCGTAGAAGTTTTGATACTCACGCCAGAACCGTTCCATTGCAAATGGCACATTTCAATTTTGCTTTGTAATGCAAAAACTTACACACATGTAACAAACAACTACCATGACAGCTTAGAAGCTGTCCCAATAATTCACCTATTATAAATAGGTCTGCAGCGCCAAAAATTCACCACCATTCATTATTATCTCATATTCACCCATATTCTAAAAATGTCAAAATATTCGACAAAATTTGAAGTATCCTACATGGTGGGTATCGGTGAATACTTACGGATATTGTCAGATACGGTGAGATATTTGAATTTTTATGAGATTTTAAGAATGAAGTTAAATTTTGGTACATAAATACGCGCGGAATCCCCCTAGATTAATCCCCTGATTAATCCTAGATTTAATCTATATTCAATAAAAATATTTATTCAAATTTTCTACAATAATTACGTAATTAAAATTTACGCAATAAAGTGAGGTTATGCAATTCATATTTATTTTGAATTTTTTATTCATTTATTTATTGCGTAAATTTTAATTAGGTAATTAGAAAATTTAAATAAATATTTTTATTGAATATAGATTAAATCTAGGATTAATCAGGGGATTAATTTCATTTTCATTTTTGTGACACCAATCCCGTTCAAAATATTTACATATAAATAAATGAATAAAAAAATTCGTACGTAATACTTTATTACGTAAATTTTAATTACGTAATTAAAAGTGAGGTTATGTTACGCATATTTATTTTTGATTTAATAATCAGCGAATAATCACCGCACAAATCCCAGCAAAATTAAAAAGAAAATTAATTTCCGCTAAAAAACATTAAAAAAATTTTTTATTTTTATTTTTTATTTACAAAAAGTATACTTTTTAGAGTTTTTTGTATGAATAATTCAGTCGATAAGACAGTTTGACATTAAGTTTGACAAACGAAATTTTTATTTACGCGTATTTACATTCATTTCCAGTATTGACAAGTATTTACACGTATTGACAAGTATTTACGTCTCAACAATATGACTCAATACGATCAATATTTGTAAATATCGTTCAATACGGTAAATATCGTTCAATACGGTAAATATCGTTCAATACGGTAAATATCGTTCAATACGGTAAATAGATGTTAATACTCGTGCAATAACCCCAAATAAAAATTCAATAAATTTTGTTCTTTCCCCCTAGGTACAAACGAAGTGTGTTGCGCGTGCGGCAACCGCTACGATTCAGCATCTGGGCAGCAATGCTATACAGGCGCTGCGAATAGCTAGCGCTATTCAGATAGGAAAAAAACATCACTGTAAATTCCAACATTTCTTGCTTAAATAACAGGAAAATGTAATTTCTTCTGCACTAAATTCAATCGCAATAATTTAGATAATCTGACACAATTTGAAACTAAATATTTTCGTTCAAAACTCATCCAGCAACTTCGTTTGAGTACAAATCAAATTTCAAAATTTTCTGCATAAAATGAAAGTCCTCTTCTGTTTAATTGGTTTAACGCACAAACGACTACGCTTGTATGAAAAGATGAACAGTTACTAAACGACTGAGACTTCTCTTCGCACAAGCGGCGTTCGTAAGGATTTAAAATTTTAGAATAGGCATAATAACATGTAGTATTATTCATCGAAGAGATATTTTTTTTCTTTCATAAAAAAAAGGTTCATAGAAACCTAGGGACTTTTATGTATTCGTTCATACAATTTCATACACGAATTTGGTATAATGAATAATATGACTAATACGTAAATCTTCTGTTTAAATCAAACGTTCGTTCATAACAAAATGAGCTTTTCCAAGTTGAAATTTTTTACGATTTGCGCGTCAATGATAGCAAAAAGAAAAAAATTAACACACACAGTATGACTGGGAAGAATCGAAGAAAGTACGCACAAAAGGAAATGAAAAAAAAAACATGTCATAAACGTAATATACACGGAATTTGCGCGAAATTTTCAGCGAATTTATGCTTTTATACATATTTATTTATATTATTTATAATCACACATTTATTTGCTCGTATTGCAGATTATTTATCATTATGTCTCACTATTTGCTGTAATAATAGTATAAATTTGAACATAAAACCCCCTAGACAGAAACCAAACTAATTCGAAAATAAAAATATCATTATAGAAGGTTTTCAAAACTACTTTTTATTCAACTTATTCAAAAGTGAATACGTATTGAAATATTTTTCAATCTCTTATCTCTTTCTTCTGCGTAAATAATATACTAGGGGCTTAATACGGCAAAAAAATTCACTGGAATTCACGTAAATTCACACTTTTGAATCGAGTGGTTATTGATGAGTTCGGTGAATTCGTGTGAATAGAATGAAATGTGTCAAAGTAATAAAGTGAGGTTATGATAACCGTAATATTTTTTAATTTATTATTTTTTCATTATTTCCGATTGTTTTCGATAGAAAATCGCTCAAAATTGAAAATAAAATTAATTTTTATTAAAAAAATATAAAAAACATTTACAATTTTGTTACACAAAATATAAATATTGCAGTAATTGCCAGCAGAAACTATTCACCACTATCTCACATATTTGAGTGAAATCGCCGTAGAATTCACCGGAATTCATTCGTTTGCAGAAAAATTCAGTTAATTTATATATTATTATAGAATTCAGTCGTTGAATATTTTGAATGAAGCCCCTAGATAATATATTGATTCATTAAATTTATATCAAAATTAATTTTGTTTCAACTAATTAGTTGAAATAGATTTATTTTTAATCGAAACGAAAAAATGTGGCACTGTTTCTCAATGTATAAGCGAAGTTCAAGGGAAAAATATAAAAATATAATAAAAAATTCATAATTGCATTTGGGAAAAACACTGTGGATCACATCTTATCAATCTGCATAGGTAAAAACCCGAGATACTCACATCACACACACATTTATAATATTAAGACCGAATCGCTTTTGAAACCGTTGAAAAAATAAATAATAACAAAACAAAATTTGCCAATGTTTGAATCATTTATTGAGCACCATTTATGTGTTATTTTCGTGAATTCATCCCAATTTATCATGTTTATTACTAGATTTTTTGTGTCACAATTTGTGACTCACAAAATGTTGGATTGCATCATCATTCTCTTGGTATACAAATTTGACTACCTAAAATTATTTGAATGCAAACAACGTAAAAAAATCACAAAGAGCATATATACAAAACACCACACATACCTCTCACGGAACGATCCTTGACGAAGCCAACGTTACACAAGCACAGGCCGGGAGAACTGCAAACACCATTTACACATGGTTCAGGACAATGCGGGTTGCATCTAATGAAAAAATAAATGTTTCGTCAATAATAACCATGAGAAATACTTCCTAGATGTGTGCGCGAAAAAGTAATTCAACACCTAGAGACGTACCTGTGTGAATCACTTGGATCTGCTCTATATCCGGGCTTACATTCGCATTCATTTGGACGAACACAATCACCTATTCGAAAAAATTCATTTACAAATTGAAGTCATTGTCAATTAAAAGGTGACGAGCAAACAATTGTGCTGAGCAAAGTGTTACCATTCAAACAGGGCTTATCACATTTTGGTTGACAATTTGTTCCGCTCTTATCTACAGTCCATCCATTGCGGCATGAACACCGATTTGGCGCTGTGCAAACGCCATTTATGCAACCTCTGAATAAACGAAAATCGTTTCACTCTCAACAAACACAATGGTGAAATATTCATGGACGCACTTACTTTTCACAAACTGGTGAACAAATTGAATTTTGCAATTTAAAACCAGGTCGACAATCGCATCTCTCCGGTGCAACACATTCACCGTAATCACAGCCATTTGTGCACTTTGGAACGCATGCACCGTTTTCTTGCAATTCATAGCCCCGGTTACATGAGCATGTGTTTGGTGCCGAGCAACTTCCTTTGCCGCATGGTGGATTACAAACAGGGACACACATTTTGCCAGCCTGATCCAATGCATAGCCTGGCTTACAGACACATGTATTACCCTGACATTCACCGTTGTCACAGCCTGTAAATTTGGAATTTTATTTGTTTTTTACACTTATTTCACTGCCATTTGTGCAAACTTTCGCTTCAAAATGGTATTTCCACGAAACTTACCAATTGGACAGGTTGGCACACATTGGCCGGCCAAGTTCTTAACGTGGTCTGGATAGCAAATGCATTCATTTGGTGCGTAACATATGCCATTTACACAATCCGAATGACAAATGGGGTTACATTTACGTACAACATGCGGATCACGTTGATAACCTTGACAACACACCGATATACGACTCAATGTTGGATTTGACTGATTAAAATATTATAATTAGATGTTTTTCGACTTTTTAAAAAGCTTGAATTCAAAAAAAATGAACACTTACCCCATTCCCGCGGGGAATTGATTGTCCTGCCACCAAAAGTGATGTGGTTCTAAAAGCAAATGTGTTTTCATTGAAAATTGGCAGAAAAAACTTCCTCAAAAAAGGTCGCTGTAATTTCAAAAAGTATCTAGAATCGATTTTTTCAAAATTACGTACGGAATTTCTTTCTGGCAAACGCCGCTTGGTTGTCTGGCCAATGTACGATTGACAAAATCGTGATAGCGATCCGGAACGCCGGGATAATGGTGTTGACGAAGATTCACAACAATTGGACTTGTACCAATGTACCATCCATTTCGAGTGGTATCGTATTCATAAAATGCACCAGATGAACTTGTATTTGGTGCTACATCAGCTAAGCAAAAATGTATTAAAAACACGACCAATATAAATAGTTTCATTTTGTGTAAAACTTTTGAATGAAATCGAAAGAAATATTGCTGCGATGTGTTCAGATAGACGATCGAACAGCAACTAATCAAAAAGCCATGAAATGAAGCTGATAAATTGAGATTTGTTTTCAATCGGTCGCCAACAAAAACATCAAATTCACTTAAGTGAATTGATAGTTATTTGGAATATTTATATAAACTAATTTACATATATTGACTTATTGACAGTTTGTGAATGCTTTTTAATTGCATTGAATATTCATAATACAGTTTTGCATAGATTGAAGCCAGGTCAAGTTATATCAAAGAACAAAGATGTAAAATAGAGAGAGAGAGATAATTGCGTTAGAATAAAAACAGGCGGTGACGTAATTTTGATTTGATTTGAAGCCAAATTAACGACGATTTAAATACAAAAGCGAATAAATCTTTCCAGTCGATTTATCGATGATACATTTGTTTCTTTTATCGGTGAGACATTGTTTAATAGACATACACCCAATGTGTGAAATAAGCAATTGATTATAAACAAAGAGAGAATTCAATAATATGCGTAATGTCGGTTTAACTTGAATCATTAGTTTAACTTCAATATTTCAAAATGTTCATAGAATCTAAAGGGATAATTTTCAATTTGATCTCTCACAAATTCTAAAATGCATGATTTGTTCATTTCTAGGGCAGAATATTTTCTCCCGCTTCAGAAAGTGAAGAGCTAAAAAAAGGTCTTCACTTTTTTCGCGAAAAGCAAAACGAAAGAATATTATTTTTCTCAATTTGTAAAGGGGTAATTCCTTAATCTGTTCTTTCGAGGCAAGGGGTGTAATCCAACCCCTGGTCAGAAGCTATGACGACTGCCAATTGATTTCAGATTTCAACTTGCTTTCAAACACTTGATCAAAACCAATATTACCTCAACCTTCGGCGATTAAAAGAAAAAGACTTTGGTGCACACAGTGGTGTAAAAGTAAAAAAATTTCTTCTGATCCAAAGGGTTTTAATTTTGTGTAAAAGTAAATATTTACCAAAAATCGGATCGAAATTGATTGCATTTTTTAGTTCCTCAATTTTCGTCAAAGGACCCTAGTAAATCGAAAGAATTGTCCAATTTTCTGAAGAAGCCAAAAAAGGTCATTCGACATTTTTCAACAATGCGTCAATTTCACGAGAAACATTCAGGGAACGTTCTAATCTTTGAAATTTTCGTAAGTTGAACGGTCGCAATTCATGTATTCTTCTTCAAAAATTACCGAAAAATACTTTACTGCGCACAGTGGGTGTGCGGAAAAGTAATATTCAAGTTTGAAGCTTTCAAATTACTCGAAAATCACTGGCATTTCACACAAATTTCATCAAAAAATGCTCCTGTAAAAATGTCGTTTGTTATCATGGCATCGACTGGATTAATAGCAAATACTTTTGTCATAGATAGCCTGTGTGTTTAGAAAAGTAAAAAAACCTTACTGCCACAACACCATCTACACTTGAATAGAAGATTTTTCTCTTTGTTTACATTCCAGTACATAACAAATTTGAAGTAAACATTGATAAGATTCACGCTAGACACAAACGGCATGAAATTAAAAGAGTCAAGTCATAAATCAAACAAACAAAATAGGAGTCCCATCTATCTATCGTTAAATAATATTTATCGCAACACATCAATATAATTTTATCATTCAATTAATGAAATGAGATTAGAATTAACAATTTCACAAGAAATTGTTTGATCTGTGAAATTCGATGAAATATGTGAAATGATACACCAACCAACACACGAATTACTTTTTGAACTAGAAGCCAAGCTGATTGAATTGATTTGCAATTTTCGGTTAATAAGAATCTTTGAATCTTTATTTAGATCGATAAATATGCGTGAATTTTGCACAACAATTTCAGAAATAAAACTGAAGCAGTTTTTTATCGCTATAAGTAAACACCGACAATTATCAACATTTTCCATATTATTCTAAATAACATAACCATATCAAATTGATTAAATCTATAGTATATTGCCATTAAGAATGTCAATATTGTTTTGATTTTATAAAATCCACAACGTGCTAAAAACTATACACATTGCTGGGTGAGTACAGATGGGTTTTTTGTTTCTATAGTCACCAGAACTATTGAATTGAGAGGCGTTTTCTCCGGATAAAACAAATACATACGTGTTCATAAGCATCTAAAACTAGTTTTGTCTCTCGTATTATAATTCTCTCGTATTCTCGTGAAATAGGCGTTTTCTCTCGATTTGGAATTGAAAACACGTGACATAACAGAGACCCAAAGAAAACAAAGTCGAACGACAGCATTCTAGTCACTCTCTCGTTTGCATACACACAAAGAAACAGCGTCTTTTCAACAGACGTCGAACAGCTTCAAAATAAATAATAAACAATGAGAATATTGCATTCGTCAGCTGTTTTACGTTCCACTTTCAAACAGGCGATAAAACAGTGCATGTATTATTTGTTTTACACACAGAGAGACGGCAGTGATCATTGAGAATTCTCAATTTGACTTCAAGAATTTGTAATTTACAGTGTCAAACCGATGTAAGAAATTCTAGACTTTTTATTTGGTTATTGCGCGCATACACAGAAAGAGTCAACAAATTTTATATCAATTTTGAGCGGATGTTTTGTGATATGTGTTAAAGTTACATTTATTGTGACAGCACGAATGATATTTGGGTCATTTGCGCTATGAATCAGACAAAAAGTATAAATTTCCAATCACGTTTTCGAATCGTCACGTAATTAACGGTGATAACACAAATCGATAAAGATCAACCAAATATCAAATAATAATTCAATTTCATTAAAAATACTTAAAGTGTTCGATGTAAAGTTATACGGTTAGAATTTATTGATTTCAATTGAATTTAATTGTTTTGTTGACACAGAATTTCTGTAACGAAGCGTTTTTCACTTACATTCGGTATAAATTACATTTGTTGTTGAAAAAAATTCAAATTATTCAGAGGCAAAAAAGAGAGTGTGTGACTGGTTTTATTGATCGTACAGATCAGATATTCCTTTTATAAATTGATTCGTGGAATGTTTCAAAAGAACGAAATCCAAATATTAATTTGAAAGAAGATCGAAAAAAAACGAAATAAAATAAAAGTTTTGCAAAAGAAATCGTGAGTTTAATCTATTTCAATTTGCATATTTATGCATAGACAATAAGAGAGAAGATATCGCTCTCAAATTAGTAAGCAATGCAGCTCCACAAATGACAATACTGGAAGCATACGATTAGTATATAACAGCGTTTTAAACAAAAGAGATCAATGAACAAAAGACCCTTTAAATTTCAAGATCTTTAAGAGTTTAAATTACGATTGCTGGTTAAGTGTAGTATTATCATCGCACGCTACTGTATAAAAATCGATTATTTATTTTTATTATTTATAAAATCGAAATTAAAAACTCATTACATGAATTTTGGGCAACCGCCATTTTCGGTAAACATGAGTGTGTGAACAAAAAAGTGCTTTATCTGGGCACGATTTTTTTTTTCATATCTATGAGTCGGTTTTAATGAACTGTGATTTTTTTTTGATTGACTAACTACCGAACCGCCATACTGTCTAATGCGTATAATCGTGAATCAAAAATCGGTCGTTACAAATTATTTCAGTTCTCTGTTATATTGCAGAAAATGTGAAATTCGGCTATTCGGCATAAGGAATTAGAAAATGTTCGAATTTTCGTTTGAAATTTTCCAAGTGGTAGAAAATTAAGATGAAAAAATATTTATTACCTATGACCCTGGGCAATGGGGTCGAAAATTATCTGTAAAAACTGCAAAAAATTGCCCCAAAAAATTTCGTACGGAATGGTCGCGTTTTATTGGTTTATCTGATCTGTTTTTTTGCTTTGATTTTTGTAGAAAAAAAATGTGTAACGCGCAAGTGTGACAAAAACATACACGTGTCTGGCCAATATTTTCGCAATAGCAGATAAAATTAATGACTCAGTTCGTTCAGGTGAGCGAATCGTGTAATCGCATTTTTCAATTCAGTCGGCGCCTGAATGAGATAAACAACCAAAATTCGAAATATTACCAAACGCCGATGCAATGCGGTGTTTTAAACTTTTACAAAATCCCATAAGTTTGTTTGGAAGAATTTCCACGATTTTCAAACACGGTGCAAGGGAGCAATTTCTGTTGGAAGAAATCGAAAGTTTTTATTAATTGCATGCGAAAAGTATGGCACAAAATGAATCTAGATCGCTTCGAAATGATTTATTGCTTTTTCTCAATTATGCTGACTCACAGCCTTGCTTCGGAGATTACTGACTCCATTTATCTGTAAATAGTTCTATTGCATCAAGTGCATTTCATGATTGAATTATTATAATCCAGTTATATAAAGCACGACGTTGACAGCTATTATTTGAAAACAAATCGAATATTTGATTTTGAAAAAAATTCCTTCAGTGAATGCAAGAAAAGGGGAAAAAATTAAAATATACTCCACTGATTTCACGCTTGTTGTTTGAAAACAAAATTCAAAATTTCGAAATATTGTGAAATGCACGTAGAAATAATAAATAATTGTTACAAATAAGTGTCGCGACGGTTTCATTAAGTTGACAGCAAAAAAACGGAAATCAAATATGAAACGCTCGTAGATAAGCAAAGATATAACGATTGATTCGAGTTGCAACGACACTACAAATACGTGTGAAAAACCATCAGTCTACAGCCTACTATCGTGCGCTACTGTTGCACGAAACACAGCCTTTCAATTTTTTATATAGAAGAATTTTTGAACGAATTTAAAAAAAAAAAATTTAATTTTGAAGAGTAACGTGACAAAGCGTTGGTTTTGCAGATTTTTTAGACCTTTAAAGGTCAAGTGATTGTCACCGTCTGGACAGTCAGGCGAATTTCCAGAGACAGGTTCATAAATTAAATATTGTGTTGTACTTAAGTTTCTTTGTTTATTTGGAACCGGCGATAAAGAGCTTTTGAATCAAGAGTATCGACGTTTGATATGTAAATTTTTCAAATTTTACATAAGCATTCTTGACCGAGCCATTTTACTTTTCCGCACACACCAAGTGTGTAAGGGGAAAGTATTTTTTTACTAAAATTGTTCATGGTTTTGGCGAACGGTTGACTAATATCCGTCAGAACTTTTCCTTTCATTCAAAAATCGATCTCCACATGAATCGTAATGATTCACAACAATATTTTCCTTTTCAATTTATGAATAGAAAAGGAACACAGTGATTTAATTTTGATTAAAACACTTCGTTTTAATGAAATTCAAGTGAATCAAATGTTGATAAATTGAAACAAATCGATTTGATATTATTTTCAAATAAGAAGTAAACACGACAACGTTCAATACAAGTAGCCGATACGAAAGCCGGTTTGATAAATTTTATGAGGTGCAAATTGAATGCGTCATAAACATATATCAACGCACAGCTGGTGTATTGTGTATGTATTATAGCTCGTTGTTTGGCATGCGTCCAATTGAATTCATGCGGAAATCTAGTATAATGAAGCAAAACACATAAAAGTTGTGCGACAGAATTTCAGAATGTGGCGTAAATATAAACATTGGCACGGCACGTGGTTGCGCACTGGAATTTTTTCGAAAAGGTCATAGTATCGCTTAACGCCGGTGTTCAAACTTCAATTACGTTTTATACGTGTATTGTAGCAGCAGCTTACGCTCAGTTCTGAATAGTGTTAATGCTGAATATTCATTGAGTTTTTTTGCTTTGAACTGTGCGTTTTACTTTGTGAGTCTCTTATATCCCGAATAATTAAAACCAGATTCGAAATTTTTGTATTAATAAAGACGAAGGTCAAAGGTTTTACTTTTTCGGAAGAACACATTTAATTTTCTGACGAAGTTTTAAACCGAAAGTTACCGGTTATCATTTGTCATATCAAACAAAACATCTTTACCGAACCCAAATCAACTAAAAGCGGACATTTGATTTCTCAAAAAAGAGTTGGCTTTTCTAAATTTCTGTTTTGAACTGTCGTGTCAATCGAAATAAGTGCAGAAGAAAAATCATTCTATTGTTGATGTGCGGAACAGTGAAGTAGTGACCATTAGCGAGCTACATGTTGATTTGATTGCACAAGTTGACTTAGAACGAATATTGATTTTGATTGGCACCAATCGATTAGAAATGCAATGTGAAAGACCGTGTAACTTCAAGTGTGTTTACATTATTAATAATAGCCACTTGAAATTATTTGATAACAACTAGTGATGCGTTAAATTTATTTTTATTTATTCGACGATAATAGTATCAATTTGGTGCCGACGATAAAGACCATTGAAAAAATGTGGTTGAAATACAGTTGGAACGATTGATTTTTATTGATTCACCGCAAGTTTTATTAATAATAACAAGCTATTATTAGGTAGTTGTCAGCAAAGACTTATTCAGACTGAAGAGGGGGGCCGATTCAAGAAATTGTTTGAACCGTTTTGATCAAAGCAGAGTGAAAATTGTTGTGAATTTTTAGTCAGTAATTGAAAAATACTAGACCACCTGGCACCGAATGTGTATGGGAAATAAAGTGAGCTGAAATTCAGTTTAATTCTCATCTATTTTACTATTGAGTACTATGTTTTATAAACACTGGACTCAATTCTATGTTGTTTATAATGTTAAAACCACAAATTACCCTTTTTTATGGACGAAAACCAGTAAAATGCCATAAAATTTATGGAAAAAATGAAATTAAAATTGATTGGTTTTGGTTGTCACTGAAAAAGTCCGAATGCAAAGTATTTTTGCGTGATTATTGGAAAATATAAAAAATACATTAAATTATGCCCATTAAATTCTCTCCTATCTCCCACCAATTCCAATTGTTTATATATAAACCTTTCAAATTACTTGATTGTTGGCGCAATAATTCATATATTTGACAGAGTACTTAATAGTGTGTATTTAAATACATTTTTGCCTTGATTTGACATATCAAAGTGACAGTTGGCATTAACTGACATCCAAACGATGAAACCAATTTGTTGCCAAAAAAAACCTAAACGAAATTTTTGTAATTAAAAATGACTTAGATTCTGTGTATATATTGATTTCAGTGTGAATGAGGTGGTGAACGGTGATCAATAGTCAATTCGATCGAAATTAGATGTGAGCCCGTGACTTGATTGGAAGACGTGTATTTATTGAGTAAGTATAAGATAAAATTCATCGCCCACAACCATGAATCGGAACAAAGAAAGAAAGTCACGGGACCCAAATCCAGTTTCAAAGGCTTCAATTCTATCAAAACTTACGTTTTGGTGAGTGATTTTATACCATTTCATTGGTTTTTCGTTTTTAATCAAATGTTTGTGGTGTGCAATCAGGTGGCTGAAGCCAATGCTTACAATTGGAATGAAGCGTGCCATTGAAGAAGACGATATTTATGCTGTAACAAATAGCATGAGAAGCGATACAAATACAGAGGCTTTTGCACAGCTATGGCAATTAGAATTGAAGAAAAAGAAACCAAGCATTCTACGAGTTATGCTTAAATTACACGGGTTTAAGGTTATATCACTTGGTATGCTGTTCTCATTTGGAGAAACGTTAGCTAGGTAAGATTGGTGAAAACAAATTTTATTTTTGCATCTGACGTTTATAATTTTTCTTTGACGAATGACTGAACTGAGACTTCTTATACACCATCAGATATATGACAGTACTAATAGTCATAGTAGCGTCTTTATTTGTAATCATGACTTTTAGATTACGTCGGATCAATGAATTTGCCGTCAATCTTCTTATTTCTACTTTTAATAAATATTTCTTCCGTCTCTTTATTTCCAGAGTAATTCAGCCAATTTGCCTAGGAGGCTTGGTCGGCTACTTTGCACAAACCGAAGAAATTAACATAACACTAAACGATGCATATTGGTATGCAACGGGAATTGTATTGGTAATTTTTTCTATTATGATTTTACAGTTTTTTCATTATTTTAATCAGTACCGTATTTTTTTAGTCAACTGCTTTCATGACAATCACATTTCATCCATTCATTTTGTTCATATTTAAAACGGCTTGTAAAGCTCGTGTCGCATGCAGCGGATTGATTTACCAAAAAACGTTGCGACTTTCAAAGTCACTGACCGAAGAAGGCCAGAATGGTAAAATCATCAATTTGCTATCAAGCGATTTGGCAAAATTTGATATTGGACTGGCTTTTTTACACGACACATGGAAGGGGCCTTTGGAAGCTATCGTTTTTTTTCTCGTGATTTACATAGAAATTGGCATATCGGCCGTATTTGGAATGGCATTTTTGGCCAGTTTCATACCATTACAAGGTGAGAATGAAAAAATTATGCGAAAAAATTTCCGAAGAAAAAAAATCTGTGAAAAGAAAATCGGATGAAACATTTTCAAACAAAAATTTTTTTAAAGATTTTTTTTGTTTAATTAAAATATTTTTTTTTCTGTTTTAAAATATATTTATTTTATTAAAATTTTAAAAATATACTATATTTATAAATTCTATATTTTGTCCTTTGTAGCTTGGATCGGTCGTCGATCAGCGCAACTACGTATGAAAAATACCCTACGCACGGATTTCCGTGTGAAAATCATGAACGAAATTCTACTAGGCATTCAAGTCATTAAGATGTACGGTATGTGTTTTGCCTAATTTTCCACTCAATATTCTTTTGATTTGAAATTCAATATATATTTATTTCGATATTCAATTTTGTTTTCAGCTTGGGAAAAATCGTTCGCTAAAATGGTCGATCAAATTAGAAAGTAAGTTTTAAATTGACTAAAATCCGAATTTGATGACGTTCAACATGCTAAATATAAAATCAAATTTTTATTTTCGATTTTTCAGAAAAGAAGTAAATGTGATCCGTTCAATTGCCTACATTCGGGCGACTATCAATTCATTCACAATGATATCAAAGGTGTCGATATTTTTGAGTTTGGTTTCATACATTTATTACGGCAATGCAATTACGGCGCGAAAAGTTTTTATCGTTTCATCATATTTTAATATTTTGAATTTATCTATGGTCTATTTTTGGCCAATGGCATTAACACACACGTGAGTATAATGGAATTTGGGGGGCCAGACAATCAGACATTGTACTGAGTCGAGAGGAAATGCTATGCCATCAGCTATTCCAATTATTATTTGTGTATTATTATGGATTGAGCTAAGATCTAGTTCAATGAGAACGTCCACTGCCAACATATTGAAATGATGACAAAATTCCGCTCACTCAGTACCATGTCTGGTTCGACTTCAATTTCTGAAAAAAAAAATGCATTTCTAATTCGTCGATTTTATACCTTCATTCCAGTGCTGAGGCGTACATATCAATAAAACGTGTACAAGAGTTCCTTCTTCGGCCCGAGTCCAAACGCCCAGAAAAGCCAAATTATAAAAATAGTAACATACTCAATGGTGGCATCGCTTCCAAAACCAATGGTTTCCCAGTGTTTGATAAGTCCAATCAAAAAAATTCCGATGCGATTGCAGACCAAGAGAATGGAGTAGCTACTATTGCCTACACTCAACAATTGAATGAAACACCATGTAAACGTGTTCAGTCTATAGACGGTGCTGAAAAGTTTATTCGATTTGAGAACGCGTCGGCGGTGTGGGAACTGAGCGAAACTCGTCAAATGAACGGAATATTTGAGATGAGTCTCGAGATCAAGCCGGGGCTGTGCGCGATTGTTGGTCAAGTTGGATCGAGCAAATCGACGTTGTTGAACGTAATTTTGGGCGAATTGACACTGGACGCTGGTTCGATGGAGGTCAGCGGTTCAATTAGCTATGCGTCACAAGAAGTCTGGATTTTCGAAGGATCCGTTCGTGATAATATAGTTTTTGTTGAAGATTTCGATGAACAACGATACAATAAGGTGGTAGAAGTATGTGCATTAGAACGTGATTTTAAATTACTACCTCAAGGAGATGCAACAATTGTCGGTGAACAAGGATCTTCATTGAGCGGAGGACAAAAGGCTCGTGTAAAGTAAGATCATATCCATGAATCTTAGGAAATATTAAAACTTATAGATTTCTTTCTTCCAGTTTGGCTCGTGCAATTTATAAAAAATCCGATATTTATTTACTTGATGATCCATTGTCAGCGGTTGACACACATGTGGGGAAACATATCTTTGAGAAATGTATAAAAGGATTTTTGGCGGACAAAATTTGCGTACTAGTCACACATCAATTGCAGTATTTGAAAAATGTACAACATGTCGTTTTGTTGAATGGTGGAAAAATTGAAGCACAAGGACCGTTCCAAACGTTACAACGATTTAATAAGAAATCATTGATGCATGCACAAGAAGAAGGCGATCAAAATGCCATTGACACCTTCCAGAATCGGGTGAGTTGACACGTGAAAATTAATGTGAAGTGAAATTGGATGAATAAAAATAATAAAACGAAGACATAACAAATTTTACCACGTAGGAAAAATGTTAGGTTCCTATTTTTATTGAGATTTTTGGTCACACTAATTTTCACCCGGTTGTTGAGTGGAAATAATTGCCACCGAAATCAATTGAATGTAAGAACATTTTCCAAAAGTGAATTTTTCAGAATTTTTCGTTCGGGTAAAAATATTTTTGGAAAATGTTCCCGTATTCGCAATTTTTCACAATTTAATTGCAAGAAATTTTAACAAAAAATTAAAATTTTCAGATCCGTAAACATTCATCATCATCATCATTTTGCAACGAAGAAGTTGAAGACGATCCAAATCAACGCAAAGAGAACCAAGTAATTGGTTCCATTAAATTCCGTACTTACAAAACATTTTTTAAGGCTGCCCAGAGTAATATCTTCGTTATCATCGTATTCATACTATTTATTGTGGCACAATGTGCCTGGAGTGGTGCCGATTTCTTTTTGTCAGAATGGTAAAAGATTTTTTCCCTTTAAAATTCAATAGATGTTTACAAAGAAATTAATTCATTTTACAAAATCATTTATTTTATAATTTAATTTATAAAATTATTTAATTCATAAAGTTATTTTATTTATAAAATTGTATAATTTTCCAGGGTGAATTGGGAGGAAAAAATCATAAAAAATAACGAAACCAAAGTGCCTTTACAAAGAACTACATCAAACGAATCATCAATCAAGGAAAATCGTGAATTTCTCATTATGATGTATACCAGCATCATGGTGATTGGTACCATCTGCTACTTATGTCGTTCGTTTTCCTTCTACCGAATGTGCTTACGAATTTCCATCAACTTACACGATATGATTTTCCGTGGAATTTCACGAGCAAAAATGATTTTTTTCAATAACAACCCCAGTGGACGAATACTTAATCGCTTCGCAAGAGATATAAACAATGTGGACTCCTTGCTGCCAAATATCATTGTTGACGTTCTTGATGTGAGCTCAATTTTTATATTTTTACATTCATCAATCATTAAGAATAAGACTTTTTTGGATTGCTTGAAAATTGGCCCCAAAATGAATGTATTTTTTTTATTTTTCAGTGCTTTTTGCAATACGTTGCTATAATTGTGATAAATGGAATAGTGAATCCGTGGCTGTTGATTCCAGCCGTAATAATGACCTTCTTGTTTTATATCATGCGTTTAATTTATATCAATGCTGGACGTAGTTTCAAGAGGATTGAAGCACTGAGTACGTAGATTTGCGATTTTTCCAGAAGAAAATACATTTTTTTTTTGGAAAAGAAATCTTTTCAAATATATATTTTTCAAAATACCAAACAATATTTTTTTGTAAAAAAATTGGAAAATAATTAATTAAAAAAATGATTTCCAGGTCGAAGTCCAATATTCTCTCATATGAATGCAACGCTTCAAGGACTGTCAACGGTTCGTGCTTTCAACGCGAGCAAAATTCTGGAGAAGGAATTTCACGAGTTTCAAGACTACAACACATCATGTTGGTATCTCTTCATTTGTTCATCGCGATGGTTTGCACTCTGGCTGGACGTTGTGTGCCTTCTATTCGTCACGTTTGTCACGTATAGCTTTTTATTGCTTTCAAATTGTAAGTCATGTACTTCTTAACGAACTGTCAGCGTAAACAGTTATTTCGTGAAAAGTAGAAGAAATAAGTTAATCAAGTCCGTTTCCCAAATTGTAGACACCGAAAGTGGAAAAGTTGGTTTGGCCATATTAAGCAGTATTAATTTAATTGGAACATGTCAATGGGGAATGCGCCAGAATGCCGAATTAGAAAATCAAATGACATCGGTGGAAAGAATAGCCGAATACGCTGAATTGCCACCGGAGCCACCTCTTGAGTCAGACGAACAAAATGCACCACCAAAAGATTGGCCATATTATGGAAACATCGAATTCAAATCGTTAAGCTTGCGTTATGCAGAAAATTCTGGTCGAATTCTGCGAAATTTGACATTCCGCATCAATGCCAAGGTACTCTTCTCTATTCAACGTTTTCAAGTCTGAATGTTTCTGGACTAAAACGTATTTTTTTTAAATAGGAAAAGGTTGGTGTGGTCGGTCGTACGGGAGCTGGAAAAAGTTCGATAATTCAATCGCTCTTCCGTTTGGCCCAAAACGAGGGTCAAATACTGATCGATGGCATTGACATTGGCGTGATTGGTTTGCATGATTTGCGAAAGAAAATTTCGATAATTCCACAAGAAGCAGTTCTATTCTCCGGCAGTCTTCGATTCAATTTGGATCCGTTTGAAGAACGAACCGATGATGAGCTATGGAATTCACTCGAACAAGTGGAGTTGAAATCGGTAATCGCGTCATTGCCCGGCGGCATTGACTGTAAGGTATTAGACGGGGGATCAAATTTCAGCGCTGGCCAACGTCAACTACTCTGTTTGGCACGGGCCATTCTTCGAAATAATCGCATTTTGATTTTGGACGAAGCCACCGCAAACGTTGACTCAGAAACAGATCGACTGATTCAAGAAACCATACGCAATAAATTCGCCGATTGTACGGTCATTACGATCGCACATCGATTGCATACGGTCATGGACAGTGATAAGATACTTGTCGTTGATGCCGGAGAAATTATGGAATTTGGTCATCCATTTGAATTGATACAGAAATCAGACGGTTTCTTTAAACGATTACTCGATCAAACAGGCAGCTCAACAGCGACAGCTCTGACACTGGTCGCCAAAGAGGTAAGAATTAATTCCATTTTTCAAAACAAACAATGATTTTTTTCTCGTTTTTTTTTTTTTGGTTTTTATAGAGCTACGACAAATGCCATGCAAAACAAGAATGAAACGACTTCAAGTGGAGGGGTCAGGCCATGACTTCACAGCAGTTTAAACATACTCGTCAATTTCAAAATCTGATTCATTTACTTAATTTAGAATAAGGTCTTTTAAGACGGCGTATCATTTTGCGGATATTTTGTGATTATTTTGTATTATTCTTTTTGAGTAGCTCAAATTAGACTTTAATTGATGTACCCAAATGATTTTACTTTTAAATTAAATTAAAACGACACATTTTTAGAATATTATGTTGTTGTGTAATTTTGATTCAGAATTGAAGCGTTGTTTTTCTTTCGAATTTTTTTACCTGATTTTTTAGTACTTTGTTTCGAATTTTGATTTGAATTGCTGCAAAAAGATATTAATTTATGATTATAAAAAATACTCTCTAATTTCGAGGGCAACATTCGTGCCACATTTATTGCTGTTCTTTATTGTTTGCACACACTATTTCTATTGAATATTGGCCGAAGGTTTATTTGTAAGTTGAAGCAGTTACAAAGACTTAACAAATGAATGAATTGTTCTTTTAAATTCAATTTGGTCAATAGATTGAATATATTCTTTCCCAACAATAAATACATATTGTTTATTGTTCATCGCCGACAATTACAGTCGTAAACAGTTGGTTTTTTTTCTTACAAACTATTTTCGGTGTAATTTTTTTTGTAAATATTCACATTTCAAACGAATGGACGAAATTTTCGGGTTTCATATTTATCAAAAATTGGTTATTATTGAAAAGTTACTAATAGAACTTGAGCATAATTTGCATGAAAGTATATAAATCACATCGAGAAAGGAAAACCTTTATTTTGGTGATGTATTTATAAGAAAAATGTAGATTTCTACAAGTAAAAAAAATTATACTATATAATACTAAAAGAAAACCTTGGCTCATGTCTTTGAATAATCTGTAATCTGTTCAATAAATGTTTGGTTGACGCTTACACACTTTTAATAAACACATGACCATTAGTATCGCAATAAATACGAGTTTGAGCAACTAAACGATTGAATTCGGCGATTTTATCCAAACGAATCATTCCAATAGTGGCACTTAATGCATGGCTATCTCGAATATGCTGGTCCAGGTTTCCTTCAAGAAACATTTTTTTGCAATGTTGGCATTCGCGCTGATGTGATTTCAAATGTTGTTCCATTGGTTCTTTGAGCATTTGTATACCGCAAGTAAAACATATTTGCATATGACAACGCTTCTTGTGGCCAAGAAGTGCCTGTATTTCGGCATGCATTTTCCACATTCATCGCACCTGTGCACTCTATTTATGTGGTCTTCATAATTACTTTTCTTAACCGGGGACGGACAGTGCGGACATTCCACCAAAAAGTCTTCATCTTCAGATTGAGAAGAGCAATCGTCATATTCACTATAATCACTATAGCTATCGTTATCCATTGTCCTAATTTAATACGAACAAATATAAAATAAACCAAATAAATTGAATTTCAATATGCAAACAAATTTTATTTAGCATACCTCACTTGCACATTTGTTTGGTGAGTGTTTTGAAATGTAAAGTAATTGCGTATTAATAAAATGTCTGAAGTTGAAAGAGCCAAAAAATAACTCACACATACTCGAACGCATACTGGAACGTTCTGTTATTCATACATTGACAAATCCATAACTCTTAAATTGTCATGTCCTCTTAGTTGTACTCATTTCATTTTACAAACACCGGCGAAATTTCATATTCATTTTTATTGGAGTATATGCTAAATTATAACGTGTTGATATGGATGCATTTCGTTAAGTTTTTTTTTATAAATATATATATATGTATGATTGGGAATTCGAAAAAACAAAAACAACCGCTTATCAATACTGTTTGTTTAAAAACATTGCGTTTCAAATGAAAATATCGAAATATACAGCGATTGTAACCAAAATATATCAACATTCAACATACATTCGTTATCGTCTGTATTTTGTATACTTTCGTCTATGGGCGATACGGCAATACTTGTAGAGAGGTAGAGAGAGAGTAAAGTTTGTAAATAACAAAAATCGAAGAATTTTTTTTCTACCTACAATAACAAATTTTTCTCTACCTAAAATATTATAAATTTTATGAATTTTGTCCCAAAAACTTCTCATTGCTGCATTTTCATGCAAATGACTTAAAAAAGAATAATGAAATATTCAAAAAATGACGTTTTGTGTATATTTAAATGTGTATTTTCTACTGTATTGAAATGAAAAACAAAACATATACGGCCACATGTTGAATTCACACAAGTAACACATACAAAAGTCATATTTGTAATGGTGTGCGTCAAGTTGTCCGCTGTCTGTAGAGCCATGTATTCGCATAGACGTTATTTCACACACGCACATACACACACGCACGGTTGTGAAATACTGCTCATATATGCCAGTGTGTGCACACATTAAACTGATTCATCATTCCTTTGGTAGCATCTCAATGGAAAGAACGGCGATCTTTAATTATGCCGTCATTTTATTTTTTTCTCAACATTTTGCCTGTCGTTTGTGTCTATTAAAAATATATTTCTTGATTAAAATGTGAAAAAAGTGCGTGTAAGTGAATTTAATAATTTAAAAAAATAAGTGTACATATTAAATTTTAGATTTTAACACGTTTTTCTGTATATTTCTTGTAGTGACGGTGTAGGCTTCATATCATCGAGAAAAGATGAAGCAAACGAAAAAAAGGAAGATCTATGAAGAAATCGTAAGTATTTGTTTTAAATTTGTTAGTTTTCAATGTTTTTTCCCTAAAAAACGTGTTCGTTTCGTTATTATTTTTGCTCAAAACGTATACGCGTAACTGCGCGTTAACATAACCCAAAATTAGTATTGCATGTTTCTTCGGTGCATTTAAAAAAAATTCCAGAAACTAAATTCATTCAAAAAAATTTATATTTCTTTTTGTGTTCAACTCTTTTAAAACTTGTGAACTCGGTGTGAAACAGTGTAATTTAAAGTTATATTTTATCGGGTGTTTTCAGTCTGAAAGCATATAATACGTATCTCGACAAATCTCGAACTCGAATATCTCGAAACCTTTTCATGACATATGATATCCTCAACGTATATTCTCTATGTTGACTTTGAATCTCTTTTTTCTCCATGTATACTTTCTGTGTATTGTATTACTGGCAATTGACGATAGTTGTAGTTGAATTGGTATTCCAAGAAATACACATATGTGTTGAATTGATATATGCTTCAAGCAGTATATACCGCTTCGTATATATAGTCCATAAACATGTAGAAAAATGAAACTGAACACATGGTTTCAGTTTAATACGATTTGAAACGTATAGGCGATTAGTTGTTACAAAATGTGTACCTCTCTTAAGTTTTTTTTCCATAATTTTTTTTTTTTTTTTTCATCAGTAAAAAATGTGAAATGAAAATTTACGAACGAAAAAGTGCGTGTTTCCAAAATATAATGTAAAAATATGTTGTTGTTTTTTCAAATATTTAAATAGAAATTGACGAACTTGGTGAATTTATAAAGATATTAATTCATATATTTTTTTCATGTTTCGTATAGGATGTGTGCGTGAAGAGTAAAGAATATGGAAAAAAAGAAGAGCATCACTCCCAGAAACGTAAGTGTATTTCCTTTACAGAAAAAATTACTTTAGTTTAAATCACCGAAAAATCGATGCTTATACGATCTTACTTTATTGACGAAAAATTGTTTGCGTTGTATGAATACAACCATGGATTTGAAGAAAATTTGTTACAATATTATTTAGTAACATACTGAGTTGTGCTTTAAAACTAAAAATGTGTATCATTTTCATTGTATGTACGCATGATTTCGAATGTGATCATTATCTCATGCATTTCCTTCTAATGAAAAAACACATGAAGTTTTCTTCTAATGAAGTTTTATTAGCCATTTTAATTGTTTTCTACCCAAACGGTTAAAATGCGGACTTATCTGAAGATGTGTAATTTGGCAACAGGAATAGTTTAGAACAAGATAAGATGCGTACGCATAGTAACCACTGTGAGCGCACAACTACGTAGCTTAATTTTGTAAAAACTCTGAGAAAATACCGATGGAAAAACACTAAGTAATAGAAGCAAAATGCCATTTTAACATGGACATATTTTCTCACATGTTAAAATGCCAATTCAACCGCAACACATTTTGTTTGCGGGTAAAATGCTATTTTTACATTTTAAAAAATATGTTCATGTTAAAATCGCATTTTTAAAGAACATTCATTTTCGAGCATAGATTTGTTAACATACTCATCGAAAATGTGTTGTGACAATTTAAAATGCCAAGTTTTCACCGACATTCCAGTAGATAGTACACATTCAGAACGACGCAGCAACATTTCAGCACAGCAAGTAAGAAATTGCAGATTGCTTGCCAATTCCATTGGGTTCAATATTCTTAATTTTTGTCAAAATTTCGCATCTTGCAATCAATTGTGGTTCAACCTGCAATTATTGATAAAATATTTGTTATAAAATATCGAATTTGACTTATATTGGAGAAATAATGAATCTGAAGACGTTCTCTTAAATAATAATGAATTGCAGCTTCATATTTATCCTTTAAGGCTCCGCAAACAACAAGTTTCTTAAGTTCAATTTCATTGAGTGTTAATAATTTTAAAATATTTATCTTCTTTTTTAGTGATTCCAAAATTAGATATTGTTCAATACAAACACGAACCGATATCTAATGTGACAATATTTGAACGAAGACGTTCAAGTGTATCGATTTTAATTGCATTCATTTCTTCGCAGCAATATATCTTCTAACATTGGAAAATCACTATAAATCTTCGCAGCAATATATCTTCTATGCTGCGAAGATTTATAGTGATTTTCCAGCGAAGAGAACAACATGATTTGCGAGAAAGGTTTGCAATGGCCAGATATTCCTTATATTTGATGTGACGGTCCGTTGTTGTTGATGGACCATGTGCTTCACTTGCAGATATGTTGAATTTACTGGTCTCATGCACTTTTGGTTGCTCAAAACGTAACTGCTGAGAATATTTATCAAAATCGTTATTGATTAAGAGAATTAGAAAAAGAAAACAGAAGAATTTCCTAATGAAAAAACTATTTCTTGCATTAACCTGCAATTAAAAATATCACAACTCTCAAAGTAATTGAATCATTTATCAAAATATCAAAGTTTCAAATTGCTTATAGCAACACCGTTCAAATGAATCTAACATCAATTGAGAGGCTGAGAGTAAAAACAGTACGTCGCATCTCATCTCTTACTCTCATCTGTATTTTCTCAGAGTAGTGTTTTCGTTCATCTCCGCACAGCACCGCAAATCACCGTCCGTGAGCCCGCATTTCAGCCATTTCATATACATGCCATATTCCATAAGTCAAAAGTTTAGCTACTTCAACTCATCATATATGGAACTTATGAGTTATCACTTTATTCCAGCAAATTTCAGTATAGAAATACATGAAAATTTGTTGTTTTTACTTTTACCTACCTGAACTTGTCCTTATTGTGTACTCTGCTCATTGAGCACAGATGTAATTGGGTTTTGATATTTTTCCGAATCATTAGTGCTTCTATATTCTGAATCATTGGTGCATTTTTTATTTTCGTCACTTCACTAATGCGGCTCAATCAAATCGGCATCTACGATCAGTATAGCTCAGCAAGTCAACCAGTGAGGACATGTTTTTCTTTTGGTTTATTTAAAAAAAAATGTTTCATTTTGAATCAGTGTTAATTTGTGTATAATAAACAGGGTACGTGTGACAATTTTGGTAGCTGACAATATATATTTTTGCTTACGTAGTGATTTTTTTTTATAAAGAAAGAGGACAGTACTTGTAATATGAAGGAAGTTGATGAAAAAGTGTGCCATTATTCTTTTGAAATGAATTTTAGTTTTACAAGCAACAAGTTCATTATCACTTTTACCTTTTAATTAATTATTTTTATTTCTTCTTTCAAAATAGACGATCATAAATGGGATTCGGATGCAACACCATATGGACTTTAAGCCGAACGTGAACGTAGTCGTAATGATGAAATCAGCTGCGATGTTTACATAGCTGCCAAACGGTATGTTCATTCGTCTCTTTTACACGATTTAAATAGAATATTTTAGCAAAAAAAATAGTAAGCTCAAATAGTTCTTATTGAATGTGAAATTGCTTTCAAATGGGATGATGCCCCCTTTTTGAATGCTGTTTGTTCTGAAAATGACTTAAGGTATTTTGTCTTGGT